TGCGACGGATAATCAGTCAAGGATCTGAGAAATGAAATGCTTCTTCATGTCTGCGCTGTAACCCACAGGTATCATTTTGATAAAGTCACACTCAAAACTGAAATAAACAACAAAGACGCGGGAGAGTACTTTGGTCTAAATTCGCACTTTATTCCTAACACTTACAGGTTTGTTTTGTCCCCGTTTCCCTGGCCCCCAAAACAACAGGCACACAGATAGCGATGAGTTAAGGGACAGTAGAGAACAGTTTCAAACTCAAAGGTTTTCAAACAGAATCAGGTTTACAGAATCAACTCAGACAGAGAGAGCCTCGAGGTCAAAAAACAGCATATTGTAAGCATACTTCAAAAACAGAAAGAAGGACCCAAAAATCAGATACTAAAGCTCGGAGCGCAGTGTTTGTCTCCTCTTTTTGTTCATCGCCATCATCATCATCATCATTATTATTAGGCTTTACTAAAGGATACTTTTGGAGTTCAGCCATCATAAAAACGTGGGAGTCGTACAATGCGGAGAAATAAAAAATCGAAAAGAAAATCAAGGTGAGAAGATACAGTGGAGCTCTTTGGTTTTCACTATTGAGGTTTTTTTCTTTAGCAGTAAAATCTATCTTTGCTGTCCTCTTAACCTTTGGATTTAAGCTGCATTGTAGAAAAAATAGAAAGGAAAAGGTTTTCTTTTTAAATTTCTCCAAAAGAAATGAACGATAACAAGGGGCGAACAATATCCACTGAAGTTTTTCTCTCCATTTATGTTTTTAGGTTTTGTGTTCTCAAGGCCAAAAAAAGACTCTTTTACTGTGTCACGCTGACTTGAAAAGTTGAGCATAGTAGTAAAATTAACATTCACAGCCACAGAAGAACTACAGTAGAAAAACTGTCAAGGCCTGAAGAGCTCTTATTATCCGACAGTGTTTTTAATATCAACAACAGGCGCTGGAAACCTTTCACTTTAGTAGTTACAGTCCCTAACAGGAGTCCTTAATGCTTATATACACATGGAATGACTGTGAGTGGGTGGGTGGGTGGGTGGGTGTGTATGTGTTGTGTTGGTTGTGTAGAGTCTCACTGTGGTAGTTTTAACTTTGGTATTATTCTCTGGTCACCACAGCCGAGTCAGACTACACAGGCACACATAAAGACGGAGCCGCACTGCTGTCCGAGGGGAGGAGAAACCAACCCGGTAAAAACCACGTTTGATCGTAAATAAGTCCGGAGTTGAAGAGTCCCCCCCCCCCTGACAGCAGTGCTTCGTACACACACACACGTCGCTCTCTACAAAACACCAGCCACATCCTCAGCACCTCATTGAACTCTGTACAGTAAACGTGACGGGACATGTCGGTGTCGATCCTGTAGGTTAAAGCCATGAGAACAGGTCAATGGAAATCTTTGTTTCTGCTTCGATCGAGCGAACTCACCAGGGCCTGTGTCACATCCCTCACTCCTGAGTAAAGACACATCACGTCTCTATTTATCTTCTTTTTTTTTTAAAGCTTGAATGTCTATTTGGTTTTTCATCAGAGTATCAAGAGGTATGAGTTAAAGACCCTCGTCCTGCAGCGGGACAGAGGGAGTCAGAAAGCTTTCAAGATAGCGGAGGAGGAGGAGGCGACAGGAGCGGAGGAAATCACAGGTTTGAAAACCGAAATGGGGAAAAACATCGACCAGTTTGACCAGTTTCTGAAGCAAATAAGATCGACCCAGACTAAGTTAGCCTCACTTTCATGTCTTCTACCATTTAAATCACCAGGTTACGTCACAAAAAACGATTAAAAACTGGAATGACGAGTGAAACTGAGAAATCCTCCTTGGGGATATCTAAACCGAGAGTCACTGTTAGCTGTGACATAACGGCGAATAATTACAGTTTAAAAACCGGCGTCTTCCTCCGTCACAGCCGCCGCCGCCCTCCTCCTTCCTCTCTGCGTCTCAGGTAAAAACAGTCTCTGGGTTTGGTTTTTTTTCTTTGAAACATTCGTTTGGCATCTCCTCTTCTTGTCTTGATCTCAAGAACACCCCGTCTCTGCAGATACAAGCCTCACAACAACCCCTGAAAAAACTAGTACAAAGATCCAGAAAGACATAAATAGAATCCAATAAATACATAAATTAAGAATCAATAAATAAACAAGGTGAGAGACAAAGTAGTTCATAAAATACAAACGGACCGTTTTTCCCGCCCCACCCCAAAGAAAGCACACACCTCCCTCATACAATAAATACAAATATTTTTTCCAACAAAGAGCCCGTGAGAGATAAAAGGTTTAAAGCTTTTGGTTCATCATCATCATCATCATCATCTTCGGTCGTCGTCATCGTCGTCGTCAAGGATATTAGTCCCAGCCTTTTTTTTTTTTTTACATCAGCAACAAGTAAGAGCAGTTGAACATAGATTATTTCCCCTACAAAAACCTAGAAGAAGAACTAATGGATACATTCCCTCTAAAAGTGGACGCTGAGCGTCAGCGCCCCCCTCTGCCCTCCCACATATCCTCTTTATCATTGGTTGCCTTCTACCTGCGAGTTAAAGCCGACTCTGCTTTCAACCTGGGCCTCGTTTCAGAGTTTCAAAGGAGATCGTCTCGGAGGAAATGTACGCCACATTTGTAATTCTGCCATGTTTGATCCTGATACACTGTGCATACGTGCAGATTTTACAGTTTGATGTCTTGGTTCAGTTTCCTGCTCCTCTTTCAAATTCAGCAGCGGTAACGTTTTAGTCAGTTTTAAAGTCAAAGATAGTCGGAGTAAAATCATTAGAGTTTTGCTAAAGTTAGTGCGCTTCCATGATAGGATGACCATACGTCCTCCCTTTTTCGGGGACTGTCCGATCTGTCTGGGGTAGTTTATAAAATCCTTTAAATGTCCGGGGTTTTGTATAGAAGTTTTGAGTTCGTGTAGCGTGGACTAACTGAGTTTGAAATGCATATAAAACACTCGACCCGACCTGAAAAACCCTTAAAATTTTGCGGGCGACTTCACCCCTGTTGTAGTGTCCTCAGGATATGGTCAACTTATTCCATGATCTTTGTCGTTTGGTGTACGGTGGTCATACAACGCTCTTATTTTGTTTTGCAAATACAATAAAATCCAACATGTTAAATATTATCGCAGGATTCAAGTCTCGCATGTTTTTAAATGACATGAACAATACCAATGACTAACGCCGCCGAACAGGAGGCTGCTGCTATCACTTAGCTAACAACTGGATAACCTGCTCTCCTGAACGGGTCTAAGAATCTAGAATTAGTCAGTAAGTTAAAAACATCTGTTTATTCTGTTAGTTGGACTAAAACTGGACTTTAAAAATACATGTTTGTCTGAACCAAATTGAACTCAGTCAAATTAATCAAAGTTGGAAAAAAACAAACTTGAAAAATCCAGGAGGAGATTAATTTGCTCTTGTGTGTGAAAACAAGGCAGGAAGTAAACTAGACGAAACTAGAACAAAGCAAAAAAGTTCAGAGTTGTTAAGTTCGACAAACGTGTTTGACGATTGTTTTGGTATTTTGGAGACCAAGTGGGATATCGCCATCTACTGGAGCGGAGGTGGACATCCTTCTGTGAATAAATTAACTACTGTTCAGTGCCTGTTAATGGGACTGAGACAGTTGGCTGATTTAACTGGATGACCATGCGTCCTCTTTTACCCGAACATGTCCTCTTTTTGGGGGGCTGTCCGGCCTTGTCCGTCTTTGTCTGGGGAAGTTTATAAAATCTTTAACATGTCCGCGGTTTTGTATGAAAGCTTCGAGTTTGTGTCGCGTGAACTTACTGAGATAGAAACACGTAAAAGACATTCGATACGACTTAAAATTAACTTTGTGCGATTCTGTGACTCCGCCCCCGCGTAGTCGTGTCCTCTTTTGGGGATTCACAATATGGTCACCCTATAAAACGACAAGTTTGTAAACTCTGTAATTTTCTGATTTCAGAGGGCGTTAGATGTTAGTCTTGGCGTATGAAGGGCACAGTAAAAGTGGGGGTTTTAATATTAATAAAATGAAGAGGCAGCTTTGTATCGAATCTTTGAAATTGACTCAGAAATAATCTGGAACTACACGCTGCTCAAGATAAAGTTGAAGACGAGGATGGTGACGGTGACTCTGTGAAACCAGGTCCAGGTTAAAACCGAGTTTTGCTTTGGACTGTGTGGGATGAGTGTTGAATGATAAAACTTGTTCCTGCGTGGTTTTATGTGAAAGAAGGCGTGTTTGAATGTTTTGGTTGAATGTAAAAGACTCATCTTTATTCTGACACACGCTCACACAAACACACACTCATCCATACAGGCAGGTGAATACACCCACACACACACACACACACACACACACACACACACACACACACACGCGCACGCAGACACACACTCCAGCTGAGCCACTCGTACGTCTTGTGCATTGGTTTGGTTGTTTCTATTTGGTATGGTTGTACGTCTAAAAAGTTTTGCTTTTGGTTTTCAGTTTTGGCTTTTTTTAAACATTCTGGATAAACTTAGAAGAAAAAAAACGTCTTTGTATCTTGGAAGCTACATTTTCACAGCAATTTCCAACCATCAACGTAAACGATATAAAATAAAAACCCAGAGCACAACCGAAGAGACAAGAAGATATGAAACCCACCTCCTCCCTCTCCCTCCCTCCCTCCCTCCCTCCCGCTCGCCCTCCCTCCTTCCCGCCGCATATTAAGTAGAAAGCAATGAGACAAATCCATACATCATTAACAGACACACTATGGAAAGCAAAAACAAAAATATATATATTCTCAGTAAGTCAGTTTGTTGAGGTTACTCCATATTTTATCCATCCAGGAAAAAAACAAAGTGAGAACAAAGCCGAGGTCGCTGGCGGAGGGCGGGAGGGAACGATTTCTGTCTGTCGATACAAGAACGGCAATCACAGCTAAAAGACGAACAGACAGACAGGGCCTTCCTCCCCCCTTTTCTCCCCTCGTCCTCCCCCTCTTTGTTTGTATTTGGTTTAGTTACAGTTCAGTCACTCATACATAACTAGTAGCAGTAGTAGTAGCTTTTGGTTTTGGGTTACTTTTTGGTTTTTTGGTCCGCCGCTTCGAGCGCACCTCCTCCTCCTCCTGCTCCTCTTCTTTCTTCTTCTTCTCCTCCTCCTTCTCCTCTTCTTCTATCGCTCTCCCCCTGCAGCTTTTTATACCTTTGGCTCCTCCGCTCCTGACCGCTTCTCCTTCTTCTTCTCCTCCTCCTCTTCTTCTTCTCCTCTTTTTTCTTTTGGCCCTTTGATGTGATCTTTGGAGACAAAGGAGAGGGGCAGATGGAGGGCAGGGGTTTGGGGGCAGTTAAGGGGAACGCCGGTGCTTCACCTCTTTCTTTTGTTCTTTTATTTTTTTGGTTTGGACTCTTTCTTATGCCTGTGGAGTGTGTGTGTATATATATGTGTGTGTTTGTGTGTGTGTGTGTTTTCCTTTTGACACTACTGAGGTTTTGTCTGGACACTCGTCTCCCGGGCGAAATCCAGAGACAACGCTGCCAGAGGCGATGCTTTGGTATCCAAGAGTGACTGTCTGGTGGTCGATGAGCAGTCTGGAGGATGACATGATGAAGGTGTGGGTGTGTATGGGCTGATAATAAATAAAGAAGAAGAAAGAAAAGAAAGAAAGAAAGAAAATATTGCTGAAAAAATTCCCAGGACTATTCAGATCTGCCCGTGGTGTAAATGTTTCCCCTTTGAAGGCAGAAAATCAGCTGCAGAGCGCTCGCTTTGGTTCGATTGAAAATTAAAGACAAGAGTGAGACTTTCAGTTCCAACTAAGATGATGAGGATGGAGATGAAAATCGAAGATGGTGGAAATAATAAAACTCGCAAAACTGACATAAAAAAAGAGGAAATTTGATCAAACTTTTAGATTTTGGCTCAGGTTAAACAGGATTTCAAACATGTTTGTTTGTTTTGAACCCACAAACACGCAAGAGGGGTGGAGTTTGTCGTACTTGGGTATCTGATACTTTATCGACACTGTATGTTCATTTGCATGGTAGTAAACTCCACCCCTCTAAAACAAGCGCCGCCTGTCGTACTGTTGGGTAGCTTCACACCGTAAAACTGTAAAGAGAGAGGTAGGTAGACATCCTGCACGTGGGATCAGCTGTGAAACGACAAACTTCAGTAGAAGAGCGATGAACGATAGAAACTCATAGAAAAATAGATGTTCTGTCAAGTCCTGAAGAAAAAGGAAATGAAATGGATGGAAATCCTGAAATGGAGAATGTTTGGTGCGGCGTGGAGTAGGATGGAGTCGTGACCTGATCCTGGAGCGATCAGGATGTAAAAGTCTTTTTGAACTAAAGCTTTTCTCTCCGTTTGTTGTTTTTTTGTCTTTTTTGGTTTTCAGTTTTTGGTATTTGGAGATTTTGGTTTTCCTCTTTGTCAGTGTGTGTCTCTCTTCTAGCTTTTTTTTAATTTGGTTGCAAACACGTGACCTTCCTCACTTGTTGAACAAGTCTTTTCTTTTCTTGCCTCCCGTTCCTCACACACAGTTTGGCTTCTCGTCCCTGCCCTCAGTCTCTGTCAGGTTTTTTTTGACTCTCCGGCCCGTTAAAAGCTCGGTGCTCGTTTCTAAAACTCTCCTCGGTGCCACCTCTCCAGCTAGATCATTATTTGGTTTCAAGTGTCCCCCCTCCGTTCTGCAGTTCTCTCTATCCTCTCCATCCTCCCTCTCTCTCCTCTTCCTCCCCTCATCCGTCTGTGTATATTTTTGGCTTCAGAAGACTTCAGCGGGGAGACGCAGACAGAGAGACGGACTCACAGATGGATCAGACAGAGAGATGGCTTTGGTTGAAAGGCGAGGTTGTAAATTTGGATTTTTAAAGCTCTGCTTCCTCCTCTTCCTCTCCTCCTCGTCCTCCTCTGATAGGATACTTTGGCTGTCAGTCAGGGGTCACTCGGCCATGGCCCCTCCCAGGGGCGGCGGCGAGGCCTCGCTGAAGGAACAGAAAGAGGCGGGACTTGAACAAGGAGACGTGGACTCCTCAGGGCAGGAGGTCGGGCTCATGAGGTCGCTGGCACCAGGGGGCGGAGTTTGGGAGAAGGAGGGCCTCAGGCCGCAAGCACCAATGCCGCCGCCGCCACCGCTGACCAGCCCTATGGCGGGCGTGGAGCCTGTCGCCATGGAGCCGGTCACCATGGGGAGGAGGGTGGGGCGGTTGAGGAAAAGAGATGGGCGGAGGGATGAAGGACCCCCGGGTCCGCCGAGGAGCATGTGGCCTGCTCCTCCTTCCAGGCTGGAGAGAGGCAGCTGACCGCCGCTGGCCGCCAGGGCTGGTGGAGACGGAAGAGAGGCGTGAGGACAGTGACGAAGGAGGACAGACAGACGAGGACGGGGAGGGTGGACACACAGAAAAGACAAGAGAGGAAAATTTAGAAAGAGAGGAAGAGGAAGAGGAAGAGGGACGACCGACGAGAAGAATAAAGAGACGAAAAGTGATCGATGATGGAGAGACGAAGGATGAAGATTCTGATCTATCGGCTCTCAGAAACAGTTTAAAACATCATCATCAATAAACTGTATCGATCAGTGAGATCATTAAAGGAACAATTCACCCAAATAGATCACACTGAGAATGAACTGAAACTCAAACTGTCAAATCTGTTACTGCACTTAATGGATAATATGAAAACTAATGTGTAATTGTCATTTCATATTTATTTGGGTGAACTGGCCCTTTAGTCATGTTAATGTTCCTGTTGACACTTGGAGTGATGAGGATTTGATCATATGATGTTAGGACATGCAGGACAAACACAGGTGAAGTAAAGATGAGTGGTTTTACTCTCGATGTTCATGCTCGTCACCAACACTCTCCCCAAAAAAGTCTGATTTTATATTTTGTTCATATGCTGTTTTGGTTTTTAGCGTTTAGGCTCCAAAAAGTGAAGCCAACGCAGTTAGAGCTCCCTCTGGTGACTGGTTGCGGTACAGGTTCAAGCCTGTCTGATCCATGTCGACAGATGGGACATGGATCAGGCTGTAAAACTGAATCACGTGAGTCAGGAACCTTTTTCTTCGACACGGTTTCTGTCAGTAAAGTTCGCTCTGATCATAACGTCTCATGTCATCGGTCGTTTTTCTCAGAATTAAGTTTATTTTAGTTTTAAGAGGCTGTAAAGATGATTTTTCAGATAAGTTTTCACATACAGTCGATGCTACAAGGATATAAAGATGTTATTTCATATATTTCACTTCAGTGGTAACTAACACCGACTCTGAAAAAAGTCAAGCAGCAAACATGTCGGATTAACCGTCTATCAGACCAAAGCAAAGAGACACCTGCCGACTTTTAAACTCTCTTGCAATAGTCGACACTTTGATCCATTACACCACCGTAAGTGTAAACATTCAGAGTGTGTGTGTCGCCTCTAGAGGTATCCCAGAAATCCTTTCACATCAACGCTTCATTTCAACCTCCCTCTCTTTTCAGCGAGGCTCCTCTTTCTTCTCTCCTTTAGCCTCTAACTCCATCAGAGCCGGCAGTGCCAGAGCGGCAGTTTCCATAACAGACTGTATCCTTCTCATCAGCACATGGCCTGGAGGAGGCCGCCTCTGAATGGGGGCCGGACAGAGCGGGAGAAGAAAGGAGGGATGGTCTGGATCTGCGCTATAGGGAGATGGAGCACGTGACGGATTCAAAGCCGGGCCGGACCGACCGTATTTGTGATGCTTAATTGATTTGGCAGCAGATCATCTCGTTCTATGAGGAGAGGTTTGAGTGAAACTAGTTATTTAGCCAACAGGGTCTCGATATCGAGAGGCAGGGGGAGGGGGATTGTGCCTGTTCAACTGTTTACTGTAAGCTGACTTAAGCTTCGCCATAAGGGTCTGTTGTCACTTCTCGATAATAGCGGACTATTGTATGAGACTCAAATTGAATCTTTCACCATACTGAGCGATTCAGAAAGTTTGAAGCTGAGAAGGAGGAAGAAGAGGAGGAAGAGGAGGAGGAGGAAGAGGAGGAGGAGGAGGAGTGTGGCTGCAAGGAAATTCATTTTGGACACAGAATGGATGAAGGGTGAAATAGGACGCCGTCTTTAGAAATGAGACTCATGAAAACTCTCGAGGGCCAGAGGGGACGGTCAGCATGCACCAGCACACACAAACATGCCACAATACACACACTTATACACACACACACACACACACCTTGCATGGTAGCCAGGGGATTGCTGCCAATGAGGGCCGGGTTCATCCCTGTGCTTACTCCCATCATTGTGTTCCTGGAATGTGGATGGGCCACACACACACACACACACACACACACACACACACACACACACACACACACACACACACACACACACACACACACGCATGTAGAGAAACAGTTTCAAGTTAAGAGGTATACACAACAGATTTCTGAACGTTTGCTGTCATATTTTCTAACTCTAACCTGCTCCGGAGAGTAAACCGTAAAATCAGCGCCGCAGCGGTCACTGATCATCTTCGAAACGGGTCAGAAAGTGGTGGCGAATGACGCAAGCGCGAGTTGGTTCTTCGTGAACTCCCCCTTTAGTGTCTTAGCATGTGTGCGAACATGCAGAGTTGTCGTCGGACCAGTGTGGCAGCCAACTGACAGCCCTCTAACTGCTGAATACCAGAGATTTCTCCGCAACATGCAGCTACTTATCGTGTAAATCACCTGCTGTCGAGTTCAACATGTTTTTATTGCAGGTGGTTGAGTTTTTGAGCTTTCATTCAAAGATAGCTGATGGTTTACTTCTTAACAGCTTGTTATTAGAGTTTTAGTGCATTATCTTACATTTCAAAAGCATTTTAAGCTACGTTTAAAGCAGCGATAAAAGGCAAACCCGAACTTTTATATAACTCTAAAAAAAGAGGTTCGAGTTTCCTGAAAGTACGTCTAGATTAGAAAGGATCAGATCCACCGCACTGTCACTGTAGGTTAACACTCACCCAGTGTTGAGCCCATGGCCCCCAAGGCTTTGAGGGGCGGGGCTGGCTGTGCTATGAGGGGGCGGAGTCACAGCAGAAGAGGAGGAGCCGACTGCAGCCGAGCTGACAGGAGTCATGGGGCAGGAGGCTGAAGGAGAAGAGCTGGCAGCTGGAAAGAAGAGGAGACAGATGTGACGTCACTGAATCAAGACTTTAGTCACAGTTTTTCATCTGTGGTCGAACTCCAACGAGAGGAGAGAGCGGAGTTAAAGAGAGGAAAGTATTAAGCCGGGCTCAACGGGCCAATAAATTTCCAGCTGTGTTTGTAACCTGTCAGATCATCTGTCATATCGGTGAAGTCTGGGATCACTCACGCCGAGGTCGAGCTCTATAAATCATGACTCACGGAGGTAAACAACTCAAGATGGGACCGTGTCGTCGTCAACAAAACATCACTGTTTTCTATTTTAATCTCTCTCTCTCAGAAATCACTTCTTAAAGCGATTCTTCAGTGTTTCATCAAACCGCCGACAACAACTGAAATATCAGCTTCTCCCAAATAATGTCAGGACCGGTTTAATCTTCCTGTGGCCGACCTCAGGGTTCCAGAAACAGAGTTGAGGAGCGCTGCCCTAACCTTTAATTATTTATTGACAACCGGACACAAACAGTAATTACAGCTCACCTGTTGTGCTGAGGCTGGTGGTGACCTGGGACAGACCCTGACTCGATATCTGTGGAGGGAGAGAAAAGTCAGGATGAAATACATCCATCCGTCTGTGAAACAAACATCAAGCAGACTTCTGCTGCAACACGACGAAGGAGAGAAAGGTGAGTTCTGGACCGTACCATGTGCGGGCTGTAGCAGGGGGCTTTGTGCGTCACAACCGGGGAGGTCTGGCTGGGCAGGGGCGGGGTGGTGCTGCTGGAGGGGTTGATGCGTTTCTCTTTTTGCCGGCGGTTGCAGAACCAAACACGAATCACCTCTTTCTCCATGTTGAGCTGCTCGGCCATGAGCAGGATCTCCTCCGAGGTAGGCTTCTGGTTCTGAGGAGGAAAACATCGGGATCATGAATGAATGATATGATATGATATGATACAATATATATATATATATGATATATAATAAACAACAAGAGGCGTCTGTAAGTAAACAAGTGGAGCGAGGTCTTCGGCTCAGAGTCTCTTACCGTGTTGAAGTTGCGCTCTAAGGCCACTCGCACGTTGGTCTCGATGCTGGTGCGTTTCTTTCTGCGTCGGCCGGGCATGCCCTCGATACCCAACAGCGGGGAGGAGATGGAGGACGGGCTGGGCAGCATGCTGTCCACCGCCATGGTTTCTATCAGAGAGGGATGGAGACACTCAGTACGTTTACATGACACCCGAGAAAACTGAATTATTGTCTTACTCCGATTAAGACTGGACAACTGAAGTGCTTGTAGACACCTTTATCTGACTATAATCGGAGTGTGCGAACTCCGATTCAGACACCCAGATAATGCGATTGGAATTTGATTTTCTCTACCATGTAACCAGCTCAGTCGGAGTATGATCGGACAATGCACGTGAGCCACGCCCCCGTAACCCCGGAGCAAAAACACCAGAGAAAAGAAGTAGCGTGCATCGTGTACGACAAAAACAACGCTGTACGATGCTCCATCTTCTTGATCGGAAAATGCCCAAAGGCAGTTGTAGACACTTCTGACGTCTGACACAGATTTATGTAATGGACTGTAGTTCTTGACGGTTGTATGGGGTCGGAAACAGCGCCGCTAGTCCAATTAGGCTGTGCATGTAAACGCACTGACTGAAGTATGCAGGTCAACTGCAGAGTCACATCGTTGTTCATTTCATGCTGATTTTCATTTTCCTCCTGATTCCCTTCAATGATATTTTGTTCTTCAGAAGTTGAACCTCCTTAATTCTTCAGGTTAAAACCGTGAACACACTGAAGGACTGAAGGACACCTGCTCTGGTGGAGGTTTACCTGCGTCGCTCAGCCACTTCTCCAGCAGCGGTTTCAGCTTGCACATGTTCTTAAAGCTCAGGTTGAGGGCTTCGAATCTGGAGATGGTGGTCTGGCTGAAGTCGTTGCCGTACAGCTTCCCCATGGCCACGCCCACGTCCCCCTGACGGACACAGATGTGGTTTATAAGTGTCAGATTTGAAACTCACATTTCTACATCTTCACATCTTTCTCTCTCTCTTTCTCACCTGTGTGAATCCCAGCTTGATGCGCCGTTGTTTGAATGTGCGGGCAAACTGCTCCAGCTCCTCCAGGTCGCTGGGCTCTTCCCCCATGTGACCCCCGTGACCTCCAGAAGTTAAACTGGACGCCAGCGAGGAGGCCATGGAGCTGCTGGAGGCCGAGGTCGCTCCTACGGACGTCACGCCGCCGCTGCTGCCGGGGGCGACTATAGAGCTACTGCTGCTGCTTCCACCGACCCCGACATCACCGCTCTTCTCCCTCTGTCGAGTCAGGAGATCGGAGAGATCAATAAACAACACGTCGATCTAAATATGGCGTGAAAAAGTTTGCGCAGAGGAAGCTCAAGAGATTAAATGAGGTCTTCGCCCTGAAAGTGTTTGTACGGTCTCCTGATAAATTATACATGACTTTCAAGGTTATGAATAATGTTTGAAGAATAAAAAAATAACTTTTACTTTCCATGAATTGAAAAAGACGGTTCTTTGAATACAGATGAGATATTAAGCTCGGAAAACATGCATCAAAAACAAGAAATTGACCCTCGGAGACTTAGTAAATTCAAGAGAAACACAAACAGCATCTTTATCTCTGATTTCAGAACAGGGAAATATGCCGTCATCTAAATATTTGGGAGCAGAGTTTAACCTCCGCACAGGTTCCCCTGAGCAGGAATTTGACCCCATGACGCTTCGGGAGCATCGACTAATTGAGCAGACGTGATGCGTGACATCAGCTGCTCCACGCCTCATTTACATCATCGTCCCTGTGCATAAAAACAGGAACAAGCAGGAGACGCCCGCCGCTGTGTCTGACACGACTTCATCACAGCCTAATGACAAATCTATAACGGCCCCTGGACGTGTGAGGATGCATTCATGCATCCGGTTAGAGAGGAGCTGAACTGAGAATGTGAGGTGAGGTGTTTGCTTTAGTATATTTGTGTATTAGGCAGATTGATGCAGCAGAGATGTATGATCCACTGAGCTGGTTTGTCCTCCACATGACAGGATCATCAGACGGCTGTTTCATTCTGCAGCAGATGCTGTTTGATTGGAGTAAATGTCACGATGGACCCCCGCCAGTTTCTGCACTCTTCTTCTTCTTCTTCTTCTCTAGTCAGACTGATTACCTGTGCTTGGAGTCCCAGACGAGGAGGGGTTGTCAGGAGTCCCCCTGGGCTTTGCTGAGGTAGCTGGATCAGATTTGGCGTCGAGAGTAAACCTGCGGAGGAAAGAGCGAGAAATTAACCGACTCAAAGAACAAACTATCGTAATCTTAAAGGAGTAAAACAAAGGGGGATTCATGTTTTTAAAGATATGTGCTGTACTCAGAAATTATTTACATTTATCTATTTATCATTATTATTATTCATTTATTACATTTATTTACATTCTTGGTGGTTTTTATCAACCACTCAAAGTAACTGTGGGGCTGAAGGTCAGTTATTAAAGGGATATTCCGGCGTAAAATTAATTCAAGGTCAAACACACATCATTTCTTCATGGAAATGTAATCAGACTGAGACGCTAAGACAGAAGAACTACAGCGTCTGCAGAGCAAAATGATTAATATGATGATTATTACTTCAAGGAAATGATAAAGAAATGATCATAAATGTTCTTCCTTGAGCTGCGTCACCCCGCTGTAGTCCGTAATGGACTGGCCTGAGGTCTCACTTCAAACAAGCGGCTGCTGGAAGAGAGTAGGTGAGTTGTGTTTAGTCTCTTTGCTAAAGAAATTAGTCAAAGTTAAAAAGATGTTTGGTGTCTAGTACTATGGCTGTGACCCTATATGTACTGTTGATGAAGTTAGGTGCTGTTCTGAGCATTATTTGTGTCTATAGAGTGGCGTTTTGGTTGAGCGTGTGGCTCTCTGTATTGCTATCCTGCGGTCGTTACTAAAGTTGGTATAACTAGAGAAGTAAGCGGTCGGCAACATTCATCTCTGGAGGGGGTGTCTAACTCTGTGTTATTGTGTGTTTGACCCTAAATTAGTTTTACGCTGGAATATCCCTTTAAATCCAGCTGGAGTTTTCTTGCAGTTCCTTGAGTGTCCACTTGAGGCAGGCCCCAAAAGCCAAGCAAACAAAATAAAACCCCTGAACTGAAACGTGTAAAGTCTTGTCACATTATCCTCGACAGAAACACTATCTAACTAACCTGTTTAGATTATTTTAAGGCTTTGACTTGTACATAATTAGGGGTGTGGCCTCTTATGACTGACAGGTGGTCGCACCGTGGCCACACAGAAAGACTTGAGGACTCTACGTCAATCGTTTGCACCTTTTAGATGAGCTGAAAGTTTGTTAAAGTCACTATTTCCGATATGGCCGCCACCATCTTTGTCATGTTTTCTCAAAGTCAGCGGGCGGACGTTACCCTGCTGCGTCTGCTGTGCCTGTGCTGGCTGAGACAGGAGGAACTGGGCAGGAGACTGAAGAGGATGACCCGGCATAAGAACCAGCTGCTGGAGCTGCAGCAGCTGTTGGATGTCCTGCAACAAAAACACGCAAACACATAAACGTCAATAAACAATAACCACTGTTCAGACATATCGGAGATGATCGGTGATTGGATTGGTTGTTGATACCTGGGCAGTGAGCTGGATTGGCTGTGACAGAGCCAGTTGTGGAGGAGGAGCTTGAACAGTTTGCTCCAGTTTGGTTTGTTGCTGTTGCTGCTGGGCCTGTGATTGGATCTGCTGCTGTTGTTGTTGTTGCTGCTGCTGTTGCTGCTGGTTGGCTTGTTGCTGAGCGGCAGCGTGGGCGGCGTGAGCGGCGTGCGCTGCGTTCGACTGCTGAACGGCGGCCGCCAAGAGCTGAGCCTGAGCCTGTTGGAGGAGCAGCTGCTGCTGAGCCGGGAGGAGAGCGGCAAGCTGAGGGAGCGCAGAAGAAGAAGGAGGAAGGTGAAGATGTAAACATGCAGAAAGAAGGAGAGAAGGTAGGAAGAAGGGACGTGAAGGAGGTTAATGAAAGGAAAAGAAAGAAGACAAAAAAAAGAGAGGAAAGTAAAGAGAGAACACAAAGAGAGGTGTCAGCTTAGCATTCCAGGAACAGAGTTGTAGGTGAACCTGTTAGAGGACAGTTAAAGCATGCCAGAGCAAGACAAGCAAGAAAATCCATCCACTTAACTCAGAGAGTCTCAGACATCCTTCAGACCCACAAACACTGACCTCTGATTACTCTGTGAGGGCTCTCTTCTCATCTGAGCTCCGAAATTTCAAAATAAAAGCACCACATTTACTCACCTGCCTCTAAACTAAATCAAACCCAATACAAGCTCCACGGTAAAATCAACCACAACAAACTTTTACATTTCCTTTGGCATTAAATATTTTGTCTACTGACGGAATTATGGAAAAAAACTCTCATTGATTGTTGAATCTTTGTCAGGATCTCTAAAATAAAGTTCAGATTTCCCCGTTTACCCAAACTTTCTACATTTTCAGTTTTTGTTGTCGAGCTCAGGCAGGAGATGATGAGGTGTCCCTGCTTTTTAGCTCCCCTTGTGTTTGTTTATGAAAGGGACGAAACGTAGAAACAGAATTATGATCACCTGTTTGATCATGTCAACAAGATATGGTGTATATGGTGTGTGTCTGTGTGTGTGTGTGTGTGTGTGTGTGTGTGTTGTCTCACCCCTGCTAGCTGACTGCCAGCCAGCATCAGCTGTGTGTGGTGGTGTTGCGTCTGCTGCTGCTGCTGTTGTTGTTGTTGTTGTTGTTGTTGGGAGGGAGGTGCAGGAGGAGCGACGGAGCTGTGGGTCATCTCAGAGCTCTCCTCACTCTTCACCTGCAGAAGATCACAGGGAAACGGTTCAATCTGCAACTTTACTTTCCGTTCAGATTCATCTATGACACAAAAACACACATTTATTCTCTGAAGTGGTATTTTACGTGCTTCACCTCCACCTTAGATACCTCTCATCTAATATCTGTAGAACATAGAAAAGCAGCTATAGTTTGAAAAATCATTCAATTATAAACATATTTTACGTTTTTATTTCAAGTCAGGAAGGAGGAGAACAAAAGCAGCAGACTTGAAGGATGGCATTTTATAAATCTATAAAACCAACCTGTGCACACCTTTAAGAGACCAGTGGAAGTTAAAAACAAGATTATTCTACATTTTTACATGTTTGAACATAAAGTTTCTGTCACAGTGAAGAGGGATAAACCAGTTTTACTCTTGAACACGTTCACAGTCTCAGGAAACAGGTTTCTCTGCACCAGGTAGAAACAGACCAGAAACTCCAAATCGACCGAGCTTCATTAGTTTTCCTTCCCTGACTCGGACTTGAACCCGACTCTCCTCTCACTGCTGACTCACAGGTTGATGTCTCAGCCGGCCATCTGTCCAGAGGGATGAGTCAATCGTCCTCGTTTTCAGGGTGTCAGAAACATTCCCGAGCTGCTGACCTCTGACCTCCAGCTGTCGTTACCTGCTCACCGTCCTGTCATTACCCATCAATCACCGCCGTTGCGCCGGGCTGCGGCTTTAGTGCGCGTCCATCACTCAGCATCACCTTGTTCACACCTTTTTCTCTGTCTGCCTGTAATCTGGGCGCTTTTTGATCCTCTCCGTAAAGGGGGCGTGGTCTGCGGCGAGTCATTTGCATATTCAGAGGAGTTTCACTTCAGCTATCAGAGAAGATTCATGCGTGCCCGTGTGTGTGCACATGTAGTATCGAGCACATCTGTACACGCAGGAAAGTACGCAAACCTGCACAACCTGTGTGGGTGCTACTATCACTGTGATATACGCACACACGCTGCAGGAGAAGAGCCTCTATTAGAGCGATCAGACCACTCCTCAAACATGAACAACTTTTCTAATATTACTTTTTTGAAACTTTTGGTGTGGCGTCTTCTGAAAACCCATTTTTATAAGGGGTTATAAGCAACAGCTGACCAGAGAAACACACAAACGCAGACGCACACAGACACATACCTTGCTGCCAGCCGGTGTGGGAGAGACGCTGTAGGGGCTGGATTTCATCGGCTGGACCTGAGGCATAAAAACACCCGAGAAAAGAAGATGTAATCGCACACATTCAGCACCAACATAAACACCAACCTGACACAGATCAGGCTGGAACACGTCCCTGAGTGTGATCTGAGTCAACAGGGTCCCGAGAGATCCCAGAGAAATATAGAGCCTACATCTAAAACAGGAAACAATCAGAAATACTGATGTGATAGGAAGAGATATCAGAGTCGATACGATCAATATGATATAAAGAAGAGACATGTGACCTTTGTTTTAAATGACATGTTCAGTTTAGTATAAATCAAACTCACCTTATGATCAGGGCTGTTTCTGTCTGAGTCTGAAACACAGAGAAGGAAGGTTGTCAGAGAGTTTATTTGTTCCGCTCATGGACATTTTTAAGCACTTCCATTCATACAAAAGGCATCTATGTAGCACAGCACAAGACCGGGAGGAAGCAGGTAGAAGACAAAGCTTATTTTACCTGCCCCTCACTCAAAACAGAAATAAACAGTTACATAAGATGGTCTGTCCAAGGACAATAAGTACACAAGAGAGCTGGGAGGAAATATGTCGACTACAATGAATGTCAACGGCGGGAAAGTATATAAAGATTTTTCATCACGCCCGTTCAAAAGCATCATCGAGGTGGAGGGGACGCGTGTTGGAGACTGTGGGTCTAATGGAGACAACCACCGCCATATTTTTGGGACTGCCAAGCATTAAAATCCTACTGGGGAGAGATCCACAAACATCTTACAAAAATATTTAATGTTTTTGGGTGATATAATGTTTGAAACGTGGAACATAAAAGATAAGAAACTGCTGGAAATGGTTAAAAGTGGAAACTCCCACCATCGACGAATGGATCGAAACGGTTTATGGAAACCAATTAGATCGGGTTTTATTTGACCACACTTGTGCTTTGTGTAAACCGACCCTCTTTTATTTTATTTTAAATTCTTTTGTATGAAGGCTGTGCTCTGTAGTTTTTGTCCAAACTGAATTAATGTAAGTGTGTCATGATATCTGAGATGAAGTTGTGCCTTTCTGAATAAAAAGAGCTTTACAAACAAGATCACAACCACGTAAAAGGAAACAAACAAACAAACAAACTACACGTCAGCTTCATATTTTGTCTTTATTCCTTATTTTAAACTGAAATATGTTTGTGCAGCCCTTTAGATTCCACATTTTAACCCCAACCACAGATTTACACATCTGTCTTAATGTTGTCCGAGCAAACTTAAAATTAAATCTGTGCTCTTCATCCTCTGAACTGAAAATAAACATCTTTTGCAGGTTTTCTGGTAACATTTTGTATCTTGCTCTGAATATTACTGTGAGTCTCTGCAGTTTAATGAGATTGTTAAATTTCAGTAGCCATGATTTGACAGTCTGTTAGTGTGCTCTCTCAGCTCTTGTCTGTAACATAAATATCGGTTTCAGGTTGCTGAGTGTTTGTGAAAATAACGTGAGTGTACCTGAACTGTCCCCTGGATAGTCCGCCCCAGGCTTCTCCTCCTCTGCTGCTTTAGACATCCTGATATCTGCAGGAAACACACACAGACACACACAGACACACACAGACATCAGAGGGGTGCGTGGAAAAATACAAGGAGGTACATGAGACTCTGCGGGAAATGTTCGAACGTTTGCTGCACAAAAAGAAATCCTCGTTTCTGCCTCATGATGTCAGATTAGCAGTGACTTCGCTGTTTTTGTTAATGACTGGAAACTACAAATATAAATATGATAAAAACATGATCACAGCTGTAAGAATGGGATGTGATTAATTTGCAGCGGTGTGAAAAGACATCTGCGGCTCATACAGACTGAAGCAGCTGGAAAAGAGAAAGTTGTCGGCTTCTTTAAACAGTCGTCAGAATTTTCCTCCTTTCTGCTCTTTCAGTCACATGACCTTCGATGAACTCTCCATAAAGAGTTTAACTCGCTCACAATGACACGGAGCTCTGTGATTGGAATAACACAAAAGAAATCAGAGCTGCATGAACTCTTTGGAGACTTTCCTTGACCTCGCTCTCATTACGCTCTTCCTGCCCCGCTGCTTGTTTCCTTTCAGCATTCAGACACACACCGACGGTATACAAACAATCACTGCTTAGTGTCTGACAGAGAGGTCAGCCCCTGCTTTCTCTGTTCCTTTAATCTGACTGCAGTTATGTTACAGACAAACTCAGCTCCACTCTTGAGGAAAATAGATGGAGTCTGAATGAAATGGAGAGTGTTTCTCGAGAAACTGGAAGAAAACTGCAGCTTTGACGAAGAAGAGGAAGAAGAAGAAGAGGAGCAGAATGGGACAGGTTTTCTTTCTTTATTCTGTCCTAACCTTTTGACTCCAGTTTTTGGTGCTGAGGCGGTTTGAAAGCTCTGCCCGATGAAAACATTTTGATATGATCAAAGTAAAATGTTCCTCACAACAGACGGTGAAACTCCAGTTCGGATAATTTCGTCCCGTTTTCATTAAATACATCTTGAAAACTTCCTCTGCGAAGCAAAAACTTAAACACCCACAAAACTGAGGACACCCCGCTCTCATTTAGCTCTTTGGATGTAAACTCTATCGACTCAGGATGTGGGTCTGGGATTAAGAATCAGGTCTACGCGGCAGATATGTGGACCGGCCTCCTCTGTTTGTGGTGACCTCGGGGACTGCAGCGGTAATTGGTCCAGGAGGAATGAGCCTGAGGAAGTGCTTACCTGAGCAGCAGACATTACTCAGCACCACAGCGGGCGCCATCTTGGATGAAACACCACCGCTCGGCTGCACACCACGCTTTTAACTTCTGTCCGTCTCCTGGTTTTTTAGACTTATTTTTCTCTCTGGAGAGGAGGACTTTTAGACAAACTAAAAAATAGAGATCTGGGTGAAAACTGGAGCCTTAAATATGAGCTGCTGCTGGTCTGTGTGACGTTTATGGAGGATAATAACACCAGCACGGCTCTGTTTTTGGTTAATACAATTATAACATCACCCTGTGGAGCGTGCATGTACAGAAATCTAAGAGGAACAGAATCAAACCAAAAAAGGACACGCTGTATTTAAGCCTAAATTTAATATATTATGTATTTGAGTCACGTTTGAGTGAGTACAGACATAAATAATGTCAAAAACACGTCCTAACGGTGTGATTTATCGTACTATGAGCTCCAATAAGGATGTTTTCTTCTGAGGTGATCCCAAAGCAATAAAGCTGATCCTGTCCCTGTATAAAAATGAGGTTATTCTCCCATGAAAGAGGAACTCTATTCTAGTGCATTAAAAGGTCAGCTGCACACATTATTCAGGAGTTCAAGATCAACTTATTGCATGAAGAGAGAAGACTGAGAAGACTCCGATCAATAGACATCTGGATTAATAAAGTTCTTCTTATTCTTAGATGATTCAATAAGCACATTTTCAGCTGATGAGGCCCGACAAACTCAGCGCTCAAACCCCAAAGTTCTTCTGTCTGTTAAATAAAACACAACAATGATGTGAAAGAGTGAAAAAAAGACAGAAATAAAGCTGCGAATGACAATCCAGAGACAAAATTACCCCTCAGTCAGAGATAGACTGCAGTTACATATAATGACCAGATGGGGGCAGCACCCTCCTGAAAATGCTTCGTATGCAGCCTGATGTTCGCCTCAGTCACATGTACAGACAATCATTTAGTCCTGATTAAAAATATGTTTGAAAACTGTAAAAATTTAAGAGACTTTGACATGATCTGAGTTTAAATCAGGAGGAATATTTTTATACGGTGTAAAGAAACATTTAAGGACTCGTATAAATCTAACTGATTTCCCTCTTTAAGGATCAGTTTTTCTGTCATTAGTTCAGTTTTCACCCTCCCTGCACTTCAAACACACCACAGTGTCCAGCTGTAGATTAACCAGCGTTATAAATCAGAGCTGGCTGCACTGATATTTTTAGTTTTTAATAATTACTCGTGTTTTTACCAAATCTGTCAGTGATCTCTCACTTCCTCTCCTGCTCTGCTGCCACACTGATAAATTCCTGATGTTACTACGACTACTACACCTCAAACATCTCCAAGAAAACCAGCAGCTAACTCCACCTCCACTCTTTAATATCATCGAATAAAACACTGGATCCATTTCACTCAAACATGGCCTCCTCAGATCTAACACACTCCACCTCTTTCACTCACACACACACACACACACACACACCTTTATTATTCCAGACTCCTCCGTCCTCTCAGCATATGAAGGGAGGGACCCCATAAAATCATTCTATCATCTCACCCCCTCCTCTCCGTCTTTACCCTCCATATAACTGCCCCTAACCCCTCTGGCCATGAGGCCTTTCAACCCCCTAACCCCCCCATCATCCATCCATCCATCCATCCATCCATCCATCCATCCCCACCGCCTCATAAATGCAAACACACACTAAAACCCCTGAACATCACACATGTCCAGTGTGTATAAAATTAATCCCAGACCTCCAGATGTTACACACACACACACACACACACACACACACACATTTCTGCATCTGGAAATGTGTGTGTGTGTGTGTGTGTGTGTGTGTGTGTGTGTGTGTGTGTGTGTGTGTGTGTGTGTTTGAAAGCGTCTGTGAGCAGATTTTTGTTTTTTTAGAGAGACTCGTCCGGCAGTGACCAACACCACAGCGGGCTCCTCCACCCTGGGGCAAAGTTGAGAGCAGCAGCAGCCGCTCAGATTCAAGGAAGACCCCCTCCACCCGTCCTCTTACCCATCCTTTCAGTGCTAATAACAGAGAGAGAGAGAGAGAGAGAGAGAGAGAGAGAGAGAGAGAGAGAGAGAGGATACTGGGCAGATGATGTATCTGTCGTCTTGGGTTGACATGGCCAGCCTGTGTGTGTGTGCGTGTGTGTGTGTGTGTTAGAGGGGGTTGCAGGGTCACTGTCAGGGAATTAGAAAAGGGGGAATAAGTGAGAGAGGGGGTTTAAAAAAAAAAGAGGGGGATACGATGGCTGGAGGGGTCTTAAACTTGCCCCCCTTTCCTTTCTGTTTTTTGCCCACCCACCCCGCCTCGGTCACGCCTGTCAGGGGCCGGTGACAGACGGCGCGTGGGTCTGCGTGTGTGTGTGTGTGTTTGAAGGGAGGGGGGGGGTTACCCTGCTGCTGTTTGGCGTGTGGATGTCAGAGGTCAGGCACATGGTCCCAGCCTCCTCGTGCCTCGCAGTGATACACACACACACACACACACACTTACGCGCACAAACACAAGCTGCCTGCCTTTTCCACCTGTCCCCTGTCACACTCACTGCCACACACACACACACACACACACACACACATATTCATGAGTCTTTTTATCTTCATCATTATGTGTAAATCTTAAAAAATTGTACTTTTTAAAAACTATCCATGAATCTGCAGATTTTTTTTGTTTTAATGACGTTTTAAATCCTCACATTTAAAGAGCGTTTGACTTTTTCCTCCAAACACTGAATTATTATCAATCGATCAATCAAACAGTCGCAGGTTCATCAGCTTTAGATCAATTAATCCTTTTAGAAATGCTGCTTTTCATTCAGAATTAAAGATTTTAGTCTGCAAATAGTGACTTTAAAGATTTATCCGTGATTTTAAAAATTATAATTGTTACAGCTGCTGGATGTTGGGGTCTTTGGATGCACCCAAATGATTCCAAATAACACTTTTACAAATGAAAAACTCCTGCACACTCTCACTCTTGTAAAAAGGTCATTTTTTTGCAGCGTTTTGGTTCTTGACCGTCTTCAGGCGAACAGCGGTCTGGGACAGGAACGGTGCAAATGCATGCAGGTTTTTCCAAGTGTGTGGGAGTTCTGCAATTTTTTCCACACTCCTCTGCAACACCTGTCCCGAGAAATGGATGTGCAGAGGTTTTTTTTTTTCTATTTTGAAATCAAACTCAGAAACAGCAGTTGGCAAAAAATTAAACGGAAGGAAAAGATTGAAGGGTGTAAAAATGGAGTTTAGTCCAGTTGATTATCTAGGAAGGCCACAAAAATAGTCCAAATGTTTCTCATTGAAGTCAAACCTGCACTGAGTAAAAAAAATAAAAATGTTAAAGATAAACTCCAACTTAGTTCTGCACCACGATGTCTCCTTCTATACTGGTTCAAATTCAACGTTTAGTTCACGACACAAAAAGAACGGCGTGTGTTGTGTCTGGTTTAATGACCGCCACACAGCCGCTGAGAACAAACCAAAAAGCCACACAACAGAGCAGAGTGTGTGTCTGTGTTTACATATAATGAGAATATACCCTGCAGTAAATGAGCACAGAGGCTGCTGCATATATCACAGAGCAGCTGCATTAAGAAACTCCGGCATGTTCTCCATAATGAATCCTATGACAGAGAAATTAGACTTCCAGATTCAGTCACCCTACTGTGTTTATGTTCGTTCAGATCCTGCGCTGTGGACTGTGGGGTTTAGACGCCGCAGATAAAGGGTTCAGAGTGTGTCACGTATTTATTTGTGCAGAAGTTAAAGTCGATGACTGAATTTCCACCTGACTCTGGTTTTAACCTGAAACTTTAAAACAAACGGAGGATTATTTACAGCTATAGAATCTCGTGTCAGCGATGATGAGTCCGTGTACATTAACTTCCTCGTCTTCCACATTTTTCAGCTAATCTGTTTCTATTAATGTGATATATTTTCTTTACGGAGCATTCTTTGCTTTCCAGAGCAGCAGCACTCACTAACACTTGAATGAATGATCACTTATGAATGTCGTCCACTTAAGTATGAAGCGTTTCTTCTTTTTGTTGCACTGAGTCTAATGACAGCAGACAGACAGTTTCTATTCTGTTCTGTTAGCTAACTTTGCTAAAACCCCGTCTGTACTCTCCGCCTCTCTATTACCATCCGTCCTCCTTCACGATGTCCCTCACCTCCAACCGCTCCGTCTCCCTCACTTGCTCTCTTTCTTGATTTATTCTGATCTCCCTCATTCCTCCTTTCCCTCAGCTCTAATGTGAGCATCTCTCTTGAACTTCCCTCGAACCTTCGCCTCTTCCATCTGAACCTCCACCACCTGTTTTCCTGCCCTTCATTCTCTCTCTCTCTTTCTCTGCTGTCAATCCGTCCATCTCTCTTCTCATTACATCCCCGCCTCTTCACAGGTGTTTGTCTTTTCTTCATATGGATTACTCTGGACACAGATAAACACCTCGGTGAGGATAATCCTCATTAGGTGGATGATATTTTGGTGCAAGACGGCAAATTGGCTCCTGGAAAGAGGTCAACAGAGCGCAGTGGTGCACCTTTATGAAACAGAGCTTAATGGAATAATGAGTCATCCAATCAGAGCGAGCTCACCTTGAACCTCAAATCAACCAAAGAGGAACGTTAATGTGTTTGTCGGGGGACAGCTGTGTTGATATTCTTCAAAACTAAATGCACTAAAAGGACTTTGTTTCAAGTGTGTCAAAAATATCCAGTGAAATTAAAACATTAAAAATCATGTCTAGAAGCACGTTGGTCTCATCTACGGTCGTCACATTCAGGTAATCGTAGCAGTTTGGTGGATTTAGTCACTTTACTCGCTCCACCTTCAACCACAACATGGACTTTCGCAGGTACTAAAGCTTTTTGATGGTTATTTTTGACGTACAAGAGTGCAGACTGAAAATTAAGAGCAGGCACCATCACCTCTGACATTAAAAATTCTGTAACTGCTGAGAAAATGGGGAATGAACTTGGTTATTTTATCCATATTTTAGTTATTGTTTGACCTCCTTGTGGTTCTGTTGGGTTAGCTCAAACTGGATCCAGACTGGGATCATTTTAAAGTCGTTTTCAAAGTCACAGATGATCATGTGCTTCCTGTCTGAGAGTTCTCTATTCTTTGGACATTTGGTCGTAATAAGAATAAAAAATATTATTTATAACACGCTTTCACAAGTACAAGAGTAATTTGGAGTAATAGTCCAACAATGTAAAAGGTTAAAATAGACATGACATAAAAATACAATAAAAAAACAGTTTACAGGTTGAAAGCCGTTTTAAAAAGGTGTGTTTTTAGGAGTGATTTGGAAGTTTGTTGATATTATTTACAGTTATTTCTAATTTTGAGTCTTTTAAAGGCTCATAAACAGGGACAGACAGATGCTGGTTGATTCACTTCCTTCATACTCGTCTCTCCTCAAACAGAAACCACATGGATAATAACACTCATGAGGTGGACTACTTCTGAGCGAGATAGTAAGTTAGTGACAGGGAAAGGTAAGGGTCAGCAGGGAGCAGTAGTGTACCGGTACAAAGAGCGGAGCGTGTTTAGGAAGTCGGATCAAATCATGAATCTCCAGAAACAACGCTGCTGCTGAGTTTGTTTGGGGAGGGCGTGTCGTTCTCACGTTTTAAATTGACGGGAATCTTTGAGAGTGAGTTGACCGTCTTTATGCTTCACTCTGCTCACATTAGATCTGTTCCACGTTAAAGCAGCAGCAGCAGCAGCAGCAGCAGCAGCAGCAGCAGCAGCAGCAGCTCTGGATAAACAGATGCTCTGAAGGAATCAGGCCTGACTGTGAGTCTTCTCTCAGACTCTGTTCCTCCACCTCACAGCGTCTTTGTGAAACCATTTTTACTGCTTCAGTTTAACGTTACTTCTCCACATTAACCGCATTTATACATCCCACCTCCAACTCTTACTGGTCTCCTTCTCTCTTTCTCTGTCTCCTTCACTTTACCCCTTCCTTCCTCCCTCCCTCCACGCCTCCTCTTCCTCTCCCCGTCTCTGCTTCCTCTCCTCTCCTCTCCTTCAGTAGTGGTCAGCTGCAGCGGTCATGGCACCGCTGGACAGCGCTCTGCTAGCACAGGACACACAGACCCGTTGCCAGGCAACAGCAATGAAAGATCACTGTGTGCGTGTGTGTCCACATGTGCGCACATCCAAGTGTAAGTGTGTGTGTGTGTTTCTCTCCCATGTTTGTGTGTGTGTGTGTGTACCTGCGAGAGTGTTAATCATTAAAAATAAACATGTTTCCCCGGCTGAAGCTGCGGCTCCGGTGTGAGGCAAACAAAGTGCTGCATGCTAATGTCTGCGCTGATGTTTACACTTTAACGACCGCTATTAAAGGATTATTCCGCGTTGTTTCCAAGTCTTAATCACGTTAGAGTCGCCGATTAGGACAAAGGTGTAACCAGGGAGTCACTTCAAAATGAGAAATGAGGAAGTTTGGCGGCTTTTGTTGCATAAAATGACGATAATGTGAGATTTGGTCTCGCATGTTTCAAAATCAGACAGTTTCCTTCAGGGCGTGGAGGTACTATGTGTTTCCTTCTGTCTCAAACAACCACTATTAAAGGACTATTCTGTGTAATATCCTCAAATAAGTCACCTTGTAGACAAAAAAGGGAATGCCAGAATAAGAATGGGTCCGGCAGCTTCTGAGGTTAAAAAACTCTGATGAATAGAGAAATCTCATCGACTTCAGGCTGTAAAGAAAATGTTTCATGCATAGAAAACTCTTTGGCGTGTTTTTTTCTTTAGAAATACAAACCACTTCCCATCTGAAAAAAGGCCAAATATCTGCAGGACACGCACATTTCAGTCCTCCCACGCAGGTTTACACGCGCTGATGTGTAAGATAATACTCACGCTGAGAAGTCGATACTTTTCATAAGTGACTTGTTTCATACATGGACGGTATTCACAGAGGACGGCGCTTTGTAGCTGCCTCTCCAGAGTGAATGACTAACACAGTGTTGGTTCTTTGGTGATTTGTGTTCGAGTGTTTGTATGAGTTTATGCACACCTTGTATTCGTGTGTGTGAGTCAGAGACAGAGAGTGATTATACGAGTGTTGTACGTGTGTGTGTGTGTGTGTGCGGCTTATGAGGACGTGCGCGAGGGCGAGCGCTTTCCGAATATGTCTCTAGAGTGTTTATTATATCCGATACAGTACCTCTTTCTCGCACCACATATTTCTGTGCCGATCGATTCTTCTGACTCCCGACAAGACAATAATCGCACCTCCCTCCCTCTCTCCTTCTCTCTACCATTATTACTGCCCTCCCCGAGGAGCGGGACGCGGGGATGGAGGGATGGAAATGGAGAAATAAAGCGAGGAAGGACAAGGGGGAAGGAGGAAATGGCCACTGCGTGTTACCTCCTTTTTCCAAAAAAAAAAGAAAAAAAAAAAAGAGGAAAAATCCCAAAGCTGTGTCGTAAAAAACGGAGAAGAAAATGAGTTTATTAAGACAGGGGGGGTTTGGGGATGTTTGGGGTTGGAGACAAATGAGCAAAAGACACAAAGGAGGGTAAAAATTTAGAGGAATTATGAGGGAATAATGGAGGAGGCTGGGAGATGTGAGTGAGATGGTTTCAAAGAGAGAAAACAAGGGAGTGAGGAGACAGAGGAAGGGGAGGTGATGATGGGACAGTCAGGGAGACACATGAGAGGAGAGGGCAAAAGCAAATGAGGAGAGAGGAAATAGGAAATGACAAACAGGCGACCAAAATAAAATTAGGAATCTGGTTTTAATGGCTGAAGGAGGGAAAAATAACGAGGTGTGCCGAAAACGAGAATTAGAGGAAAAGGAAAAAAAAGAGAGAGGAAATGTGGAGAGGAGAAATAAATGAGCAAAGACGGACAAAAAGAGAAACAAGCGAGGCGAAATTTACAACAATGACAGCAATGAGAGAATAAAGCACTGAAGACAGATAACGTGGAAAACGGAGAAAAGAATCGACTGGAGAAGAAGGAAAAAAAAAAGAAAAGAAAAGAAATAAAATGAGTCCACCGCAGTGTGACAGAGCATCCTCACAGGAAGGAGAAGCTAGTGACAATTTGGACTAACAAAGACACACAGCCTCGCCTTGATGGGGTGTGTGAGTGATTGGATGAGGGAGGGAGGGGGGCAGATTGTGAGCAACAGAGTCAATGACAAAATGAACGGACAGAGTGGACAGAAAGATGACCGAAAAATGAGACAGGGGCGATGGGGAAGGAGGTTTCAAAGAGAGGAAAGAAAGAAAAATAAGAGTCGGGTAAAAGCCTCCAAGACACAAGATCCACGTCTGAGAGAGGCGGGATGTTTCGTCTGTGATCCTGCGCTACGATAGAGGAATTATTCTAGAAGAGTTAACGCAAGAAAATGCAAAAAATATTTATGATGTGACTTTGAGGAAAAGGATGAAACTGAAACTCTGATTCATGCAAAAATTCAGCTAATGATGATGATGTTTGTGGTGCTGAGGTGAAGTCTAAATCCTGAATCCAGAACCACAGAACTACTATGTTCCTTTTCTTAAGTTGGAGCCTAAATGTAAGAAAAATGTAAGGTTAAAAAACTCTTTTCAGAGCATTGATTTTTTTTACCGTATACACACAGAGTTTGTGTGAAAACGTAAAAAAAAAACAGTTTTTATCAGGATGAGTTTGATTAAAACGGCAGAAACAGAGATTTAGGTGTGGTGGGCTTTTCTCTGCTTCTTCTTCTGGTCTAATTCTGAGTCCTGCCTCCTTTCAGCTGGACCACCAGGTTTATTCAACGGGGACTGAAAGGATCTCATAAGTCCAGGGGAAGGCGGGCCGGATTTTCCCCTCCTGTAGAAGATCATATTATCCTTCAATTTGGAGTTATGAGGTTGTCGTGTGACCGCGGGGATATTTATGTTCAGAGCGTTTGGATCTCTGGAGTGTGTGTGCTCCTCGCTTTAAAATTAAGGTTTTCTCAGGCTGATTCGGGTCTCCGGGTTCCACAAGTGGAAACAAATGAGTGAATGAATGAATGAATGAGTGAGGAGGGTTGAAAGCAGCCGGCCGGCCGCCCTCTCCTGCAGCCGTGGATGCTCGCTGATCTATGGTGCGTGCCGTTAGATGGTTAGGTTTACAGGTTTATCGATTGGACCCGACTTAAATTGGCTTCCAATTAAACAGAGCGCTTATTTGACCTCTTTACCCCTTCCTGTCCTCTCCTTTCCTGTCCCGTTAAACACCCCCTCCTCACACACACACACACACACACACACACCTCCACCTCTGTATCTCTCCGCCCGAGCTCCTCTCCATTGACACATCCATCTCTCGCTCAGTGTAATACCTCTACTCCCTTCCCCCCTCTTCTTCTTCTTCTTCTTCTACGGCCGTCACCCCATCCCCATCCTCTCTTACAGGCGCCTACCCCCCTCATTTTAAACCCCTCACTCTGCGCCGCTCTCGCTTCCTCTCGCTGTCCATTTCCAACCTTTTCTCCGCCACCTGATCTTTGCTCTGTTTTCTCCCGCACTCTCTCCCTCGGTCAATCCATCAATCTCTCCTTAAATAACAACGATGAATTATTAAGAGTATTTATTCAAACAGCATTAATTATAAAATACAGGCAGCTTGTCAGTCTGTTCGCTTTGGCTGAGGCCGCCGCGAGCGAGATGGGAGTAGTAGAAGAAGAAGAAGAAGAAGAGGGGAAGGAGAGGGGTAAAAGGAAAGGTGCAGGGTGAGGTGGTTAAGGTTGGAAATGGGGGAGAGAAGAAGAAAAAGAAGAAGAAGAAGAGGGGAGGTGAAAAAAAAGGGGGGTTAGGAAATTGGTGTGGCTAGCGGAACAGCTCCCCCCCACTCCCTCCCCACCACCCTATCCCTCCTCCCCCTCCTCCCCCCTTCCCTTCCCCGCTCTGCTTTGTATTCTGCGGAGATGACAGGGGGAAAGCTTTATTGCTCTGAGTTTGTATCGATCGGGGCCCCTCAGAGGGGGTAGCAGGACCTGCACACACATGAGGCCCTTTTGCAGAGGCCGCTGACTGCTGCCTGTAGCCCCCCGCCTCACCCCACCCTCCAAACACACCCTTCCCTCCTCTAATATCCTTTTCTGGCTCTTTTCTCTCATTTCGGCGAGGTTTTTAGGGACGAGGCGTGTGCAACATCAACGAACCCGAACGCACAAGTTTCCACTCAAGCACACAAACACGAGTTCAGGTGAAACACCGGCAGCAGCAGCAGCAGCAGCAGCAGCACATGAATACACTCATACGCTTGAAGAGGTACACAAACTCACACACACACAGACAGCACAACCCTGGGCTGCAGGGCTGAGCTGCTGTCCTGACTGGAGTTGCATCAGAAATCCCTAATCTGGGAGCGTGACCGCCCTCAGTTCCAGCAGGCAGGGATCAGGACGCTCCGGGCGGATTCCGAATTTGGGGATAAGATGGGATGGGGATGCAGGTTCTGAAATCACCCTGAGGGACGGAGGGATGGGATGGAGCGGTGGCAGCAGGGGAGGCGATGAGGGGCTGAGGTAGGTGATATGATTTAACCCCCCCCCCCCTCTCTTTTTGCTTCCTTACAGTGAACCCAACTTTCCAATAATTCAGGAGGAGGAGGAGGGCCGGAGTAGAGCGCTGACCTCCTCCTCCTCCTCCTCCTTTATGCGAAGCTGCTGTTTCACTGTTTTACTTTTGGAAAACGCAGATAAAAGATTAAAGACGGGAGTTTTCACATATTCACAAAATTGTTAAATTGTCATGAAAGGAAAGACGACATGTCGGCGCTTCTTTTTCTGTTTTTTTCCACCAACATCCCGACTCCTTTGTGGTTTCTGAAGAGGCTCAATGCAGCGACTTCTGAACTGCAGGGAAAAAAAGAACAGAAATGCTCGGTGTGTTTGCTTTTAACACTCTCAGTATGTGTATTGTGCTGCTTTTGCATAAGGAGAAAAACGTCTGCAGCCGATAAACGATAGCAGGAGGTGATGCTGATTCTCACACAGTCTGTAAATTCAAAGAAGAACGACACTCCTTCAGTGTGTCACCTCGCTCCTCTATGATTTCTTATAACGAGACAAAAACGACGCCTGCTCGTGTGCGCAGAAGTCATCGGGCCTTCACTGAGGCGTTCACAGATTTGAGGTTTTCTTTTTAGTGCGATAGAATAAATCATATTTAAGATTTTCCTCCGTTTCCTCGCCTCTCTGGAATCTAATCAGAATAAAACAGATCAGGAAAGATATTTACAAATCTTTTAAACTAAATCACTTCCTCTGATTGTTGGATGAAGATTTGAGGTCTCCAAACCGCTCACAAAACGTCATATTTTTCCCTCACTTTTTCGGAGATCCAAGCTCGCTAACTTTACCGTCACTTGTCTAAATCTGTAACCTCCTGGCCGTGGTCGCTGCCTTCCACTTAACAAACTCCATTTTGTCGAGGTGGGCTGCAAGAATCAGAGCGCCACCGAGAGACAGAGAGAAAGAGATATATAGATAGATAAAGATAGAGAGAGAGAGAGAGAGAGGGAGAGAGAGGGGGGGGGGGGGGGATGGACGAAAACGACGGCTGAGGGGAAGAAAGTGTGCTCAAGGCCACCCTGCTCTGACCCCCCTCCTCCTTCAACTCTTTCGCTCCGGAGTGGCTGTTATCTCTCTATTTTTACACTCCTTCCATCAACAGAGCGCCCCAGACCCACTTATGTTCACTCACCAAATGACACATGGTCCTACACACACACACACACACACACACACACACACACATACGCACACACACATGTACAGAAAAATACTCAATTACCGATGTAGACAATGACTGCGGTGCTTCTAAGCCACAGTGAGTCATTAAGCGAGTGTGAGTGTATTTTCACGTGTTTGGACCTTTTCGCAGACGCTGCCCTGCTGTTTGACCGCCGGTTTGATCAGGAGAGGCTTTCCACCGCGTTTGAAATGTCGCACTCCGCTGCTGTGTGTTTTTTTTTATTTCTTTACAGGGAAAAATCTCAGGATTCGACAGATTAAAGTTTTAGAACTCAGAAATCAGTTTAGAATAAAAATAAACGCCGGGGTTTGAAGACAGAAAACAGACTGAAAATAATCAGATCAGTGAGGTTAAGGTAGCAAATGTCGACTCACACACATATACACACACCAAAATGCACAATTACAGGCTTCCAGCGTGAGGATAATTACAACAACAATAGAGAGAAATGGGTGTGTGTGTGTATGTGTCATTGTATGGATCAGATCCATAGGGGGTAGACTATACAATAACGACCAATTTAATGGAAAAGTCTCTTTTTTCGTGGGTGGAATGTGAGTCCCTGTGTGTGTGTGTGTGTGTAGACTGTAGCACACAACAGGGATGCCAGCATGATGCCATTATACTTTTCACTATAATATCGTGCCTTACACTGTGTCTCTTTATTATTTTGGCCATAATCACGTGTTCGACTCTGTGTGTGTGTGTGTGTTCAGTGTAGATGAAAGCACGATGGCACATGCTGGACCACCACGGGGTTATGTGCAACTAACACACACACACAAGCACACAGACATGAACAAACACACGCGCACACACATGAACACGCGCTGCCTGGCTGACTGACCTACCGCCATTTCACACTACTGACCAGTACAAATTGGATAAGGGTCCATTCTCTCTGCACCAGCACACTTTCTCACACAGACACAACGCGCGCCAAGTACACGCAAACAAACACACACGCGCACAAACAAGCTCTACACAACAGGCTCAAAATGGCCGAAATGCTGCGGTTACAGGGTCGGTCTCTCTGTGGCGAAGAGCGAAGTTACAGAGCAGAGAGAAGAAGAAGGAGGAAGAAGAAGAAGAAGAAGGAGATAAGGGAGGGAAGTTCAGCTCCGTCTCCTCGTGATCGATGCTGTTTTTGAGGCGCTTTCTTTTTCCTCCTTCAGCTGATTTTCATTTAAAGAAATGTTGAATTTAAGGAAAAACTCTGAATGCAAAAAAACCCCATATTTTTCGAGCTACATAACCCTGATGGGCACATTCGTGACATGCGGTGGTTGTTATTGTTGGACCTTGATGCTATATGTCACGGCCTTCGATTTGTTCCATACATTCCTGTCGTTCAGCTTAAATGTGCTGTTTTGTTGTTTCTCCTCAGTTTCTTAATGGTTTTTGAATCCACCCTGCCTCTGTATGCTTTTGTTAGAAAAAAGGTTATGTGTGTATGTGGATCCAGGATCCTACATCTGTTCTTTACTTTATTTACACTGTGACCTTGCATACCTCAGCCTCGGGTTTCTACGGTTTACAGCGGAGAAGGGGTGAAAGTTAAAGAAAGAAAACGAAGCGAATAACAGAGTCGAGAACAAAAACAGTCCCAGGATTTCAAAATCCAATTTGTGAGGAGCTATTTGGGGACGAGCCTTTAAATGTAACATGAGAATTAAAGACGCGGTTTCCTCTGGTGGGATGACGGTGGAAAATAAGACGCTGACGCTCTGAAGGATGATCAGAGGTGGAGGATTTGAACCGTGTTTTTCTCCTTTATTACAGATCAGGTTTTCTTTCAATACTGAGACCAACTCTGATGATTCAACGGAAGGTCTTTTTTTTTTTGGTTACAAAAGGTTGAAGCTGATAATCTCAAACAGGAAAAGTATAACAGGAAGTTTTTGTTTCTATATCTCCCCCTTCTTATTAACCAGGAGTCTTAACTTTACGGGCTTAATATAGTGATATGAAATAAATTGGCAGCGTTTAAAAACCATCTTTTCGTCCTCGACTCTTTCTTCTAATAGTTTTATGTCTAAAATTCGAGCAAATCACCTCTTTTTCTTTGGTAATGCATTTCTAGCCTCCCACATGAGTCGTCAGTTCTTCTCTCTGTATTAAATCGTTTTAAAGCTCCATTAAGGGACTTTTAATTTGTGTTGATTTTGGCGCCCCCCTTTGGACAAAGTAGTACACGTTTTTCGAACTATAACTAAATTTGCTGCTTGAAATAACAATCTTGTCACTGATGGTCTTTGTTGTTTTAAAGGTCGTAAAAATATGTCAGTCTGTTTGATAATTAGTAAAAAAAAAAACAATTTAAAGTTTTCTCACCAACTATCAAAGCATCGTGTTGCCGTTGCTCTGCTGTTGCCCCGTTGTCAGCTTCGCTCTTCGCCTTGTGTTATCATCTAACTCAGTTTGATTTTTACCTTTTTTACTTTTGGTTTCTTTGGTTTCTCTCTCTCTCTCTTTGTTCGGCAGCACTCAGAAATAACAAACGTAATATTTTTAATAACCTATCCAAATCTCCGTCATCCTGACAGTCTTGATGTGATTTCACTGAGTTGGTTTACTGCGTCCAATAGAAACACTCTAACAAGGTTTCTTCTTTTATTTCCATTTTCCTCGTGTGTTTTCTTGGAAAGTTTTTCCTTTCCTCTGAGGGATCGAGGTGTGAGGATGTCGCCTATTGTATTCTGTGGAGATTGTGAAACCATTTGAGATGAACGTTTTGATTTTTTGAGACATGGTTATACAGCGTTTGTGAAGAAAGTTGACGATTCAGTGTTCAGACCTCTCTATTCAATGCCAAGAAATACCATCGATTCCGAGCAATGTTTTCAATGCAGCAGCTCGGGTCACAATGCAGCGCAGTATACAGTACCCCCCGCCCTTTGCCTCCCCCCGTCCCCACCTCACTCAGCTTCATATAGAGCTATATAATTACAGCGTGGCCTTGCCATTCCCCCCTATAGCCTCTAATTGTGTGGATGCCAGGACCGCATGCTGTCAGGGAGCGGCTGCATTGTGTATGTTTCAGATGTTTGCCTTCATGTGCAGGTCTGCTGTACTAATGTCAACACAGGCAGAGGAAAGAAAGAAAGACAGAAAGACGGAAAAACAGACAAAGATAGAAAGACAGAAAGACTCACACGTGTTGTTCTCTCCTCACTCAGACTTGAAGTCTGTGTTTTAATTTTCTCAGATTAAAACTCCGCTGATTTCTTTCACTGTTAAAAAATGGTGTCACTAAAAAAAAAACATGTGTCTTTAATCCCTTTAACATCTGAACAGTTTTAAGAAGACTTGTTCATTCAGCAGATACTGACACAAACTTCACCAATGTTAGGATGTTGGCATCTCTCTGATTTTTGTGGTATTTTTTTGGAAAGTTGATCAGCTGGTCTTTTTTTTTATTCTGTATGGTGCAAAGAAAGAAAATCCGGTAGGAAATACAAAATGACAGTTTTATTATAGAATCTTATTTCTTTAATTCAATATATTTGCAGGTAATTGTGAATCTCCTCAAACACAGATCTAAACTATTCACAAACTAATCTGTACTTTAACGCACATTTAATCTGAAACTGGGATTATCAGGTTGTATTGATTTCTGGCACTGGACGAACGGCGGCTCTGTGAACTCTAAGGAGCTTTTTCCTCTTTTTTTCCTCTTTCGTTTTCATCTTTGGTTCTCTATTTAGTTTTATGAGACTCATGTACAGATCTTTTTTCTTTATCCTTTAATTTCTCTTTTTGTGTCTGTATTTATGCTGCTGTGAATTGGAATTTCCTCCTGTCGGACTATTAAAGGAATATCTCATCTCTTCTCTTATTACCCAAACAGTCCCTCTTAAGTAGAGCCCTATTGTTTTGACCTGTTGATTATCAGATTATTGGTGGTGTAATGAATCTAACTTTCACAAACCTTCTCTGCTTTTATTAGGATTGTATCTATCCGCTCAATATTTCAACAGTTTTTTTTAAAGATATCTTCTTTTATGATTTTCCTTTAACACATTAAAGTAAATCAAACTCGCTCCAGGCTGTTCTGGGTTCATGAAATGATGTGTTTTATTCAGAAGTGAGGGTTTATTTCTGTCTAAAAGTTGCTGTGAGTTAAAAAAATATGTGATAATATGGAGTTGAGATGCTCGAACGTCACCTGAATCCAGACGCTGAATTTGGCTGTGATGTTGTTTCAGGGTCTCTCTGGTGGAGTAAATGTGTAAATCTGAATATTTGTATAACTGTCTCTGTTTGTACTCACAGTCGAGCCACGTGGCCCAGTGTGTTTACATTTCTTGACGGGGGCACGCGGGGCGATATCTCACGGTAATCGATGAACAAGGGAACGAGAGGGGGGGAGGGGGGTGAGAGGGGTGGGGTGCAGGAAAAAAATCGGTAAGGAAAGCAGGTTATCTCCCGTCATTAACGGAGGGATTCCCGCATGGAGGGAACGAGGGGAGGGGCAGGGGAAAGACCTGGATTCATTGAGAAAAAACGTAGCGTGTTTGGCATGAAGAGAAAGCAGACAATTATCTATATTGATTAAAGCCAGCCAGCCAGCACAGGGAAGACAGAAAACTATGGCTGGATCAATAGAGAGGGAGGTAGGGAGGGAGGGAGAGGGAGAGAGAGAGAGAGAGAGGGATGTAGGGCAAAGGAAAGAGGGATAGTTGGAGACAGATGAGACGGTGAGGGCTTGAAGAAAGAGACGAGGCCCCGGACTCGACCGATGAAAAAGTGCGGGAGAGAGAGAGAGAGAGACGAGGTCTTACGAGCAAATAAAACGAGAAAATGAATTAAAGCCAGATGAGGGAGGAGTGAGCGGAGGAGAAGAGATGACTGGCAAGAATCTCAGAGCGAGGGAGGGATGAGGTCGATGATAGTAAAAGTGTTAATGAAAATGACGGGTTCCTGTTTGATGACTTAGCATGTAATGTACTTGAGAGAGAGAGTAAAGGGATCAATACGTAGACAGATCCCAGGTACTGTGTGTGTGTGTGTGTGTGAACAGGAGGAATTAACTAAAGAGCAACAGTAAAAAGGAGGATGGATAAAACCTTAAGGAGAGGACGGACTGTGAAGGCAAGAAAAGACAAGAACGGACGGAGGATTCAAGAGATCCCAACCCAAGAAGAAGAAAAGGACTGGGAAACCATTTCAAGGAAGACTAAAAACCATCACAAGACGGAGAGGGAACTAAAATCAGCATCGCAAAGGGGACGAAATCTCACAAACCCGAGAAACCCTAGAAAGAAAAATGAAAGACGTTGAATATGTGAAGGATCTAGAAACCAAAAGACTCTAGAAACAGTCCAGAGGGAGGCTGAAAACAACGCTAAGAGGACCTGAAACTCCAGCTCTCTCTGTGGTTGAGGGTTTTGAAAAACACTGGGGGACCAAAAACCAAAGCAAGGAAGACTGGAAACCCATGAAAGAAGGCTGGAGATCTTGGAAAGGGGTCTAGAAACTACTGCAAAGAGGGTTGGGTTAAAAACCATCATGAACTTCATGATTGACAGAAAGATTTAGAAGATCTTTTGTTCCCACAGACATCAGACTGTTGAACTCTTCTGTAAATAGGAGATGACATTAGACAATAAAGTTCTTCTTATCTTAAGGTGGTCTCGGAACTAGGAAGTGGAAAAAACTCAAGTATGACTGGAAACTGTGTCAAGTTTAACAGAAAAGCATAGTATAAGAGACTGGATACTGTCTCAAAGATGACTGAACAATGGCCAAAGGACTTTAAGACGACTTTGAACAATTATAGGAGAAGAAAATCAAAACTCCACAGAAACCAGAAACAAGATCTGATCGATACTGCAAAGTCAAAAACCAGAAATCTGTGAGACATGAACCAGTTTTTCCTTCTTTCTATGAAAGTCAAAGGTCAAGGCAGTCTTCATCTGCAATCAACACTTTGATATAAACAGACACTTTTAGTTATTTTGAAGCACTGAGTGTTATTTCTTCATTATATCTCAAAGTTGTGTGATTTCACTTTCTTTGTGTTCCTTTAAAAGCTTGAAATCGGGAACATTTCCAGTAAACTGATATCATGTTCTTCTTATTCAGCAGCTTTCTGCACTTAACTGCTTTTGGAAACGCTCCACTCTTATAAAACATTTTAGTGGAAACTAGAGAGTAGCAACAGAAATAAACCTTTTTTTTGTGCCTCGCTGCATCTGATAACTTGTCAGTTAGCTCTGGATAAGTTATAGTACCCGGTTAGCCTTCCGGGTTTGTTGGCTGGTTGTTTGGTTTTAAAACAAGTCATTATCCAGAAACTCCTGGACTTGTATTCGACTCGACAATGAGCAGATATGGATCTAAAAGACCTGTATAGGCAGGTCCATTTTTAGTGTTTCTAAACTTCAGCTGATGATCAAACTTTGAAGATTTCTACCATCTTTGGGAATATGGATGGAATCATGACTACCTTGCTTTTAGACTTTAGATCCCCTACTTTGTCACTTTAACTCTCCTTTCTTTATTTCCAATTCTATCTCTTCTCCCCTATAATTTCTCTCAGCTCTCTCTCCCTCCCATCTTCATTCACAATTTCTCTATCTCAATTTGTCTCCCCCTCACTTCTGCCTCTGCCTATTCATTCCCTTTTCTCTGCTCTTCATCTCCCTCTCCCTCTATCTCTCCCTCCACAGGGTCAGCCTGATGGTCACAGAGGTGCTGTAGTGAGCAGTATGGAGGATTGTAGGTCTGGGGCGAAATGGCCCTTAAATGGCTCTCAAACTCACACTGGCTTTATTGATGCTCTGGCCTAACGCCAGCTAGCCTCAACACTTGGTGTATATACGTGTGTGTGTGTGTGTGTGTGTGTGTGTGTGTGTGTGTGTGTCAGGGGCAGAGCGGTGCTGATTGCTATGTTGATTATACGGAACAGTCGTACACCTGGCTGAAAGCTTCTTAGCACAGATGGTGAGGAGAGACAAGACACAGACAGGTGGAAAACACAACGCTGGGTCGACTTTCTACGCTTTAAGCTGCTTACTTCTAAATATGGAGGATATCCCTGAAATGAAACCAGCTAAATAAATAAGGTAAACATCTATTATGAGGACTAGTTAGACATATTTAAAAGTGGAATTATTATTATCTAATTTTTCTGCAAATAGTGAGCTTAGATTTGACCTCTCCTCTATCACACCGTCGCTCTGATGCAGAGACGGCCTGCACGGTTTGGAGAAAGTATGTGATGTGCGATGACATTATTCAATATTGTGAGATTGATATGAAGTGAGATGTGTCAGCAAAATATAAAAGGGGAAATACAGTATTGGCAATCTCAGCTTTTATGTCTGTCTGTTCTTTTCCACTCGTTTGCTTGTGATGTGAATTTGTCGAAAAACAAACAGGACTGGTGTAGAGAGAGAGAGTTTTCATCTGTGTTTGTTTATATCCGGGTGGTAGAGCGTTTTAGCATTGTGGTAGGAACTATCAGGGATCATACACAGTTGGAATTTCAATACTTTTCCATACCCTTCTTTTTAGAATTATTTTTGGAAATACCTACCGCATTTTTCACACTATAAGGCGCACTTAAAATCCTTTTGGCTTGTCGGAGCACTGCAGCTACCGTAACCTCGCGCAGTTAGTGAATGAGTGAAAAGTTAGTGAAAAGTTTGACTTATCCGACTGTTTTGTTTGGCTTTATAATCTGGTGCGCCTTATGTATGGAAATAGACACATTCACTTTCAGGTGTGCCCTACAGTGCGAAAAATATGGTACTTTTCTATTTTAGAAAACAGTATTTTAGAACTGTAGTAATACTCTGGAAACATAAATATTATCCATACATTACTTCTACTTTTTAAGACCTAGAAATTGATCAAATTTATTTCCATATTTGCGTAGGAACCCTAAACTATTAACTGTCGCCACAGTTCACAAGTTGAACTGTGATAAAACGTTATTATTATTTGTTTAACCGGTTTGTAATTCTGGTGCTGACTAGCGAGTATGACAACATTTAATTATTATTTGAGGCGTGTAAAAGAACATTAAGTGAGGGTAAACATTCATAGATCTCAGCTCCCTCTCAAGTCTTGCTGCTTTTTAAATATCCGAACAATAAAGAGCTTGAATGACCAAGAACATTAGATTTTATGAGCTGATACTGCTTTTAAAAGATAACCAAGAATAAAAGAGTTATTTCACTGGACAGAGATTTTTTTAGGTGCTTTTATTTTGAAAAGTCATTAACATGTTGGTGTTTTTTTTTTGTTTTTAAAGTTGGAAAATTACTGAATGACTCTGCTTAAGATGTTAAAGTTAAAGAGTAAAGTATGTCTAGATTTCATTGAGGTTTTATCAGTAATGTAATGTAATCAGGTATGATGCATTAAGGTGAAGCTCTATCTTAATCCTCCGGTGGTCACAATCCTTTAAAAACATGACTGGAACTGATAACCACATGTTTGTGTAAAAAAAAAAAAAAAAAAAACTCTAATCGCTGTGCAGAAAAAAACCCACTGTGGTAGGCTTATCTCTCTCTCCTGCTTCACTCCCTCTCCTCTCACACGCACACACACACACACACTCACACACACACACACACACACACACACAGAGGCTACATATGAGTGGCCTCAGTCAGTCATACACAGTTAGGAGTCTCATCCACATTCTGGCAGAGTGTTTGGCCTCTTTTCCACAGCTGACGTTTGCACGTTACCGTGGACAAAACGCACACGGACACGCACATAAACAGAAACTTGGATGCACATGCACAACGCCTCCTCTTTACCGCTCTGGTGTGATAAAAAAGAGAAAAACCATCAGGAGAAAGTTAAATTAACGCCACTTTATGAGCGACCTCAAACAGAGAGTGCGGTTTTTAATACTTCTCCCAACATAAACGATATGCAGATGGGTTATTACCAAATCAAATTTTCTCCCCACTGAGGGAAAAAAGATGAAATATTCTGATAAAAGCTGCGAGGATGCCTCACTTACTCCTCTTACTCTAATATTGCTCCTGACGTGCGATTGATGAATGACCGAATTCAATAAAATATAATCCACTCTGACAGACTTGATGAAATTTGGGATGCAAACGTATGTAAAGGTATGTTTCAGTACAGGATCGGGGGGGTTTATGAGGAGCATCGTGTGTGTGTGTGTGTGTGATTGGGGGGTTTGGAGGTGGGGGGGATCATGCTTATGAAAAATAAATTTCAAAAAGCCAGCATTACCTCTGCTCAGGCCCGAGCTCCAGCCTTTGCATTTCAATGTGAGGTGCAGCCTCCATTATTTATGATGCTTTACACCTCAAAACCACGGCCTGCCTCCCTCTACCTCTACCTCTCTCTCTCTCACTCTCCCCTTATCCCCATAGTAACCACTAGCCCTGGGTCTTCAGAAACACTGGCTGTGTGTAGAGACACATAGAGAGAGAGACAACAGCCTGTGGGACGGGTCGGTGCCAGCTGGGATTTGATAGGTGACAACATGCAAGAAGTTCAAAACCAACTTAGACCATCAGTGAAATCCGTCAGCGAGATATTAAACTTCATAGAGAAACATCTCCGGAGACTGATAGTGGAGGTTTTACTGATGCAGACTACAGCGACAAATGACTACAGATGTTTTATATCTACACTTTTGCTGAGTGATAGTACCGGCTGTCATATCGGCTTCTATTCAGCGTCAAAATGTTCCCTCTTTGATGCGCGCCTCTCTGTCTTCCTCTCTGCCTGAAAGGAAGCAGAGTTTTATCTTGACATGCAAGAAGCTGCACTGCCAGAAACCATATACCCACAGTGAACTAGAAAAGTTCTCCTCAAGATTGTACACGGGGCGGTAACATCCACGAAAACACCACAATGGTGATCATATGTGACTGTTTCTACCCGGGAGTCTGCGACTAAAAACATCCACTCCAGTTGTCGGAGGCAACATCCTGTTCACAACACGCTTCATGAAATATAGGCGAGATTTCATTTTGAGAAACCCGTGCAATAAGACGATCAGCAGCAGTAAACAGAGCCTAGAAAAACAGCAACAACGCCATTAGTGGATTGGTTTTAACTTAAGTAACGCTGGTCTTCTTCCAGAGTATAAATTCACAGCAAAGGAAAAGTAATTCACTGTAATTATTCTGCGTACACATAAAGAGCCTCTTGGATGAGAGACAACGGCGTCTGTGCCAGAGGAAACACTTCAGGTCAAAGAGACTCTTCACACTCAGCGGTGGACTTATTTCAGACGGTGGGTTCTGTTTCAAAATAGACTCATTCATAACAGAGCCCAAACTTCTTTGCAGAGGTAAAGCCACAGCGGAATAACAAGTGGAGTCCCTGAACCCTGAATAAAAGAGGAACTGGATCCAACAAGTCAAGACCTCACTGTTGGAAGTGATGATAGATTTGGAGTTTTAATCACTCGACCACCGATATTAACTTCTCCTAACTTTATGAAGAACTTGATTTTATGTCATGCGAACTACTTCCCCTCGAATCATCTTATCAAACACCAGCTCCCCAACTAAAAACTAGATCTGATCAAAAGTGATAAACCTCCCCATGTTTAAAACACTTTTTTGCCAGGTGCTGACTCAACTACATCTCTTGCAGCCCTTCATATTTCCTCATATGTGTTTGTTAAGTCTCTAATAACTCAACATGCAGAATCTGTCCTGTAAACTTCTTTGGTTCCTCATGAGCTGGGCCACCTCTCATACTTAATCCAGCAAATCAGATTTTTCCTTTTCTTCATATTTCCGAGAACAGTGTTTCTGCAGAGCGAAGAAAAATCAAAGCTTTTAGAGTCTTTCGATGGATTTTTAGCTCCGACTTTAGAGAATATTTTCTCCAAAAGAGGAACCTTGGCTTACTTCAGTCTCTCCTTGTGTGGCTGTACAAATGCACTTCAAGTGGTCGTTGACAACTCTCATAAAGGAGGTCAGGTACCGGTTGTGAAAAAAATGGACCCGAATACAGACAAACTGACCAGCGCTAGGCCTTGTCTTGCATGTTTACTATCTGACTCCATTATATCATAAAAAACCTCAGACACAGCTTTGTCCATCCCGAACATTGCTTTGGTTGTGGTGTTGCTATGTCAACAAACGGCTGAGTCACATCACTTAAGAGTTCCTTTTGTTGACGCTAACAGAAACCGCAAAGAAGCGCTTTGAGACACGTAGTCATTAGCAGGGTTCGACACGACCTTTAGTATACAAGTGTAGCGTCATCTGAAACTTTAGAAATATAATAAAAATTGTTTTTAGCTGTGGTGGAAAATGTAAATACAAGGCTGCTTTAATGGCTTTGAACCCCCAAAGTAGAGCTGGGCGATACGGCCTCAAATCAATATCACGATATATTGATCAGTTCACCTCAATAACGATAAATGGACGATAACTACTCCACAAGCTGCTCACCCCCTCCCACATTAACTTTGTCTACTTCAGCCGCTACAACTTTTGAACTGTCCTCCATCTCCTCACCTGTCTTTCCCTCTTTGTTACAGACTGGATGGGGCGGAGTCACGTCTCTGACGTAGGACAGCGTCTTAAAGGGACATGAGATCATTAGCCTACCTACACACATCCAAAACAAACATTTATTGATTTATTTATTTGACACTGAATATATCTATATGGGCAAAATTACGTTGGTTATTGTCGTGAATTCGGTATTGGTAAATTTTCAGTTTATTGCCCAGCCCTAGATGGCGCCATTCAGACTATTCCCCCTTTTTTAAATCCTAATGATCCTGACCTGTTATGTTTTTTTTAAGCCTATAAAACATTTGTGCCAAAATAAACATTTATTGATCAGTTTATATATTAAATCTAGTTTCTATGACTCTCCTGACGACTATCAGTAAAATGTTTTTCATATTTTGTTGTTAATTTTAAAGCATTTTCCTGACAGTTTTAGGTGTTTGTAGGAGAATAAATCAAGTTCAAAAACACAAAGTATTAGTCACAGACTGGGTAATTAACAACTGTACAAAAATGACCAGCTTTTGGAGGTCAGTTCGGCTTTGAGAGGCAAGAAGGAAGTGAGAGGTTTGCCATGCTTTTAGGGCTGAGTGTTGTGACTGTAGTGTTACTTATATCTCTTATTTTTTAAAGACTGAATATATCGATATGGTTAAAATGACGTTGGTTATTGTAGTAAATTTCTGTATAGGTAAATTTTCAGTTTATCGCCCAGCCCTAGATTTCGGTTTTCTTTTTTAGGTCGTAAAGAGAAACAACTATTCATTTCAGGCTGTTAAAATGTGTTTTCAGGAGCTTTAAGGCACAAAATGTTATAATATACGAAACTAATTTGACTCCATTCATGCTTTTTTTTTTTTTTTTAACAGTAGCACGATTAAACCTCCTCATAATAAACTCAGCAGATCTTTGTGGCTATCTTTGGATTTTTCTCTCCACAGAATAAACACTGCCCTGAAAACATTTTGTTTCCGAGTATGCATCCTCCAGTAAGCATTGTATGAAAACCATCATGCCCTTGAGAAACATCTTTACGGCGCATCCGTCCTGTTTGGTGCTCAGCTGCTGAGATTTAACAAAACCTACAGGGCTCTTTAGTGTTTAAACGCAGCGAAAGCAGCTGTACGTCCATAATTTAAGAAGAGGGCTGAATGCACGTCCTTCATATTGTGCTCCACACAGTGCAGGCTTGGTGGCCTCTGCATGCAGTGGAAGTGTAAAATGAAACTAATGTAATAACCGCAGAGCCTAGAAGGGATGAGGCCTTTTCATTGGGGGAGATTTATAGTTTGGGAGCGCCGAAGAATCTCCATTTCCTGAATTAGAAGAGAAGTGACCCCGGCCCTGCGACAATAGTTGGCGAGTAGCGTTAGAACATCTGCCAGACATTAGTCAAACACTGCGATGCTTGAATGATGGAGCTTCTGAGGGGGTTGTAAATTACAATGGGAAAGAGGGGTAATATCCATCAGTCCATCCATCTGTGTGTGTGTGTGTGTGTGTTCGGACCCTCGGACAAAAGGCCTGCTGCTGCTACGCTGGCCAAAAGCTCTGCTGGTCAGACTTAATGAACCTTACCCTACCCCCCGCTCCATCACACACACACGCACACACACACACACACACACACACACACACACATACTATATAAACACATCGCCCATCCCCCCCGGTGTCTTTCTCTCCTCTCCAACTCTACCTTGGCCTGCAGTGGCTGTGTCACTGCTAATATTGACGACACCCCCTTCTCCCTCTCTCTCTCCCTCTCTCTCTCCTCCTTCTCTCTTCACCCCCTCCCTTCCTCCCTCCCTCCCTCCCTCCCCCCTGCTTTGGCCGGCAACCGCTGTTGTCCACATCTCACCTCATCCATAGTAGACAGTATTGATTTTCAGCACGGAAAATAAAAAAGGCCATGAATTTTAATGCCTCACTGTCTGTCTGTCTGTCGCCCGCCCACCCTTCTCTCTCTCTCCCTCTCTCTCTCTCTTTCCTTTACTCTCCCCTATTCTCTTACTACTCATCTTCACCTCCTTTCCTTTTATTCTTAGAGCTATCTCTATCCCTCCTCCTCTCTGATGTATCTCTCTGTCCGTCCATCCCTTCCTCGCTCGCTCACTTTCTTTCTTCTCTGACCAACACTTCCTCTCTCTCCACCTCTCTTGTCCTTTCACCAACCCCACCCTACACCCATCTCTCTCTCTCTCTCTCTCCTTCTCTCTGTTTTTCTTGCTCCCATTTTTGTCTTGAGGGAAGAAGGATAGAGCAGAGGAAAAAAAAGAAGTGGGGAGGATGCGGTGATATGTGTCTGAGTGTGTTTGTCCGTCGCCAAGCTCGGACACTTCCTCCCTTGTTAACTAATCTGCGTGTTTCGAGGGGAGAGGGAAGAATGCCAATATTTGAGCATAAAAAAAAATCTTTCCTATGTCTTATTTAAACATCAGCTCATTAAAAACCCAGATCAGACAGTGTGTGATCATTATTTTGTTGAACTAGCAGGAAAATCGGCTTTTTTATCTGGATCACAAATTCTTGCTGTAACACCAGCGAGCCGTTTCACGCCGTCTTACCCTCGACTACAGCTGCAGCAGAGCGCTATTGAATTTTTTCTCCTGTTTTTTCGGCTGGTTATTAAGCCTGGGAGTAGCCACTGGTGACCACTACATTTGAAGCTAGCTAATGCTGAGTGAAGTGAGGAAGATACTGTATAGAGAAAAACCTGCCCCCGTGCCACATCTGCTCGGATCTTTGGATCGTATTTCGACAAAGAGGTGTATTTTCCATTTTGCACATATTCAAGAAAATGATCTACGTACAGTGTGCAATTTCATCGATATGAAGGTAAAAACATAGTACTGACAGGAGAAAAATGGACAAGTTGGAACACAGTAATTTCACCACTCAGGACCAGAAAAAAAGAAAGTAGCAATTGCCATCAATGACAGGTTGCATGCTCCTGTCAGCGAAGGCTGCATATCATCTTTGTCAGGTAAAAACTCTGTTTTTTTACAAGAAGCGCAATTTTCAGGAATGAGGAAAAGATTTTCTCTTGGATATCTCTTCAAGTGTAATATCTGGTCTTAACTTCCATGGCTTATAGAAGTCAATTCTACATAAATAACAAAATAAACGCTCAAATTACAGCCTACATGGATTTGCCAGGACAGCAGTGCAATTTTGTCAAAACACTCTCTGTGAATCTTCTGTAGCTTATTCAGGTTAAAATCATCTTATAGTGGAACCGAGCCGCACATACCAAACACCAGACGCTGATATTACTGTAACCTGTGATCAGATACAAACATACAGGACCGATCTATGCAAGCGAGGAGATTTAGATTACAGAGGAAAATTACAGACATCAAATTCTGAAATACTGTAAATGAAAAAAAAAAGAAGTTTAGCTTCAAATAAAAACTAATCCATAATGAAGATTAAGATTAGATGAAGTGGATTAAGAAATACATTTTAATTTTTAAGGAAAAAATTAAGGAAAAAAGCCAAAGATGAGAATGAGTTTGTAAATCTACTAGAGAAAGAAGTTTAAAATTGACTCCTTCATATTCTGTATGTGCGTTTGACCATCTTTGAAACTTGGAGCTAAAAACTAAAACTGGATTCTTCTCAAGTTTAGGGTTTTTTCTCAGCAGCAAATACAAGAGCTGAATTTCTCCCTCTGTTGGAACAAACTTTCACTCTCAAGATCTCTTTAACTGATCATCAGTAGAAGACCTACAATACCTCCATGTTTCTCTTGAGGTCAAATGAAACTGTTTTTTTTTTTTTTTACTGCACAAGTTTAATGAGGTGAAATAATGAGAGGAACACCAGGGGCAGAGCTTCAGGCAAATGGAAAACTACAAATCATCCCTGACATCCCCAGAGCAACCATCTTTTTTATGTAAAAGGCCCTAAAATATTGAATTTACAGCCAACTGACATTAAATTTACAGAAGATAGAAAGATTTGCTTAGTCACTGTTAAAAAACAATCAGACTAAATTTTGTGTCGTGATCCTCAGCTGCTCAGAATAAACAGAAGCAGACTCAGACTATCAGACTCCTTGGTATGGATCCAGTGTTTCTGCAGAGTCTTTTCAGAGTCTTCGTACTTAGGAAACCAAGCTTAAGACTTCAAAGACTAACTGAGTATTCAGTTATTTATGAAAGCTTTATGAGAGCTGACTCCTCTTCCACTTCAAAATAACACAGAGGCCGACCATGGACTAAAACAACAGCTGTAACGTCTTCAAAATTACAGCTTCAGTCTCACAGATTTAGAACTTTTTCATTATGACTTTATTCGTGTAAGAGTTGGACATAATTCAAGTAATTTTGCAGCTTTATTCTGAAAAAATAAACTTTTCCTTCTTAATATAAACCTCTCCTAAGTCTTTACTTCTTACTAAATATCTGCATCAGGTGTGTGTAGCTGAGTTTTTTTAATATCACTGACTTAAATATGAAAATGTTGGAGTAATCTAGAGTTTATGTCTCATTTTATCCCACTGTATTGATAATTTGGGTCTTTTGTCTCGTTTTGTCTGTGTTAATTCTTATAAAATTATTTGTTTGACCTGTTTTGTCTTTATTAGGCGACACAGCTGAGGTTAAGACATGAGATGCAGGTCGTGGAGAGCAGGGAGTCAAACTTCTGACTTAGTGCTGAGACCGAATATGAGAGTTTGAGTTATTTCAAATATGTAAATACAGAGCAGCGTGAAAGTCGAACAGACACACAACAGCTTCGCCTCGTATGTTAAACAAGCAACAAAGAAAAGTCAGACAAATCCAGAAGGATTCATCCGATGTTATGCATCCTGTTGTGGGTTTTCTCGTTTAATATTTGCTCTAAATGTTGTTTTTGATGCTCTGCTTTGAATATAATGTCAGTTAATTCACACTAGCTGCGGTTACAGGCATGAAAACTATCCAAGATTTAGGTGTGGTGAGTTTAACATCAACATTTCTGCAATTTGTGATGCCAAATTCAGCATCTGCAGCGGTTACATGTCAAGAATACACACTACTCGCAGAATGAAGAGAAAGACTGTTAAGAAATGAATCCCTTTTTCTTCTCGTCAAGTTACAGTGAGTGATTGTCTAGCCTCAGCATTCAGCTTGTTCGTCTAAACTCGAAGAAAAGCACATTGTGGAGTAAGCGCAGTGGCCGCAGTTGTACTGTGCGCTTCAGAAGAACCATTACCAGCTGGCCGGCTCCCCCTCTCCTCTTAGAGGGCAGGAGTTGCTCTCCATTTGCTGGATAACCTTCAGGCCAGCTCAATCAACTGTCAATTGGGATGCTTTCAAAACAAACTCCAGCCTATTATCTGCAAGAATGGCCCAAACACAAGCAGTGGGTTAAATGTCAGACGCCTAAAAAAATTGGTTTCCCACTTAACGCATCCTCTGACTTTGTTAGGCTCGGCATCCTCAAGGCCTGTTACTTTAAGCTTTTGCCGTTTAAGGGGGAAACAACAGCTGACACATTGTGTGCGTTCTGTGAGGTTAAAGCGCGTGGAATGCGGCGTACAATGTAAAGTTATTTTTTTTATTATTTAGCACTGAGTGGGCGTTTATTCATCTCAGTGTCCTCCGCAGGCTGGCCGTGCCTCACCGGGACAATGGCGGTATTTTTCAGTTTAAGTGAAAGCTTAAGTTATTGTCAGCGCGCGGCTTATTCATTGTATTCATTCACTGCTTTACAAACAAACTGAAGGACAGTCGGTGTGTGTGTTTGTGTGTCTGCTCTTACACACACTTCATTTGTTAGTGGGTGTATTATCGGTTGTGTCTGCCGTACAATAAAAATAATAAATAAAAAATGTGAGAGTCAGGCGAGTATTAACTTTGTGCTCTGAAAGGTTACCTCCTAAACAACAAATGAAAACGGATAAAGATGTAATTATTTTCTAGTACTTTTAACGACAAACATGAATACAGATGCTGTAACCGCACACACACACACACACACACACACACACACACACACACACACACACACACACACACACACACACACACTTGAATCCCCGGTTAAACTCACACCAACACAACCCGCCAAAAATCATCACTTTCCAGCCTAACCCTCGCTGACAATACACTTAGATACGAGGAGCCTCCCAATCCTGTTAATCCACTCATCCCTTCAATGTCAAGTCCACCGTCTGTGCGTCCGTCTGGCTAGCTGACCCAGGCCCCTCCCACCTTGACCCTGACCCTGAGACCGAGGCATCAGCCCCCTCCCCCCCTCCTAACAGCAGGCCCCTCGGTGAGGCCACAATGGAGCCCATTAACAAAAACGGAAAGATTTAAGGTTGGAAAGGTGAAAGGCGGCGCTGATGCTGATTTGAGGAAAAAAAACAGAAAAGCAGAAATTAAGTTTGAAAAAAAAAAATCACAAATAAGGAGAAAAATATTAAATCTAAATATCAAAAATACCAACTTTAAATTTCAAAACAAGTTTCATCTTATTGAGAACGATCTGCTCGTTACACTGGCAGTTATTTCTACTCATAAATAATAATAATAAACTTGGAGATTTTTTTGGTGTGTAATTTCCTAAATTAAGACATTATTTTGGACTTGCCTGGACAACATGACTTTAAGTAAAATGGGATATTTTCATTAGAAAATTAGGGGAAAATGCACGTTTGTACTCATAAAATGACACCTGAGGGCATCAAATTAAACGGATAAATACGAAAAGATTTTTAACAGCTGAGACAACTTTATTAAAAAGTTATTTTTGACACCAAAAGGAGAGAGAATGTTAAATTCACTTATTTGTTATTATTATTATTATATTTTTAATTATTTTATAAGTCAGTGTCCACAAGCTTTAAGTAGAAACACTATAATTTTGAGTTTTCTAAAATATTGTCTTTAAGCTCCTGTGAGAAACTTTTGGTTTGTGACAATTTTGGCGCCCCCTGTGGACAAAGTGATTCGTACTGATTTTACCAAGTACATGTTAATGTGTGTTTATAATAATAAAAAAAAAACATTAATATGATTTTCAGTCTGTTTCACCATCAGCTAAAGAGTCGTCACAGGAGATTAAAGTGAGTTTTATCAGAAATGGTGGATTTGATTTGAATTTGGTTGATTTTGTAAATCTGATATCTAGTTTAGTGTTTCCTCTGATATTTACTTTTCTCTTTGTTGCTATAATTACAAGTATCATTTTAACAGTGACTGTTTTTTGCATTTCTTAATAATCTTTCAGTGATTTTGTCGGTTTAATGTCGTGTTTTAAAGTGTGGATCCCTGGATGATGAGTCATGGTGAAGTAGGAGTTGAATAGATATAAAAGATCCTGATATTACAGTTTTTTAAATATCTTTTGACAGACTCATTTTGTTCACCTCCTGCTAAGTTCTTAAAGAAGTTCTCACATAACATGATTTTCTTACACAAATTAAAAAAGCCCAAAACTCATCATTCGTTTGTCACCCATTTGCTAAAATTCTTCCACTTTTAAAGGACTCTTAGTAGATCTTAAAAAGGCTGTATAAGTTTATTTCTTCTATTATTTAACCGTTGGTTTAATCACCAAATTATAAAGATAAACTCTTAAAACTGGCACAGACAGAAAGTATTATGTAAATAATGTTTAATAACTGAATAAAGTTTCTTGAGTTCTCTTGTAAGAGCTATTCCCCGGCTCAGCGGCAGATTGGATCCACAGTAAAAACCGACATGTGTGTCAGACTGACCCCACTATATGACCCTAACCCATCCCCAAAACACCAGCCCACCACTCTGTCTCTGACCCCTGATAAAAAAAATGAGCATCCAAACACTGGTTCCCCCTCCCCTCCCCCGACTCTCGCCGCCTGCCAGGTCTGGTCTGTTGTGGCCCGGCGTGGCCCCGGATGACCTGGCCTGTCCCAGGACTTGAACTTGAGACGTGACAGAACATCCCGGCCAGGCGTGGACAGATGAAAGAGAAGAATAGGCGGCTGACGGGCCGCTTGCATATGAATCGCCAAGGCGGCGAAGACAGGAGGGGTAGGGTTAAGGGGTTAAGGGTAAAGGTCAACCCCCCGCATCCCCGAGTCCTGCAAGACCGCTCCCTAACTGACGAGCAGACAAAGGAGATGAGGAGGGGGCTCGGGATGACACGGGGCGCTGGGCGCTCGGACCCCTGCTGCCCCCTCCCCTCACACCAGGAGGGAGAGCAGGGGGCTGGGACATTAACACACATAAACACACACACACACACACACACACACACACACACACGCTCGGGCAGGCAGATGCACTATGCAAACACACATGTGCCACAGCTGAAGGACAAAAACATTTGGACACACTCACTCTGACAAACAGACGCCCACACTCACACACTTCAGTCCATTTCATCTGGACACACACACACACACACACACACACACACACACACACACACACACACACACACACATGAGTGAACACACTGAGGACATTTGCATCAATATTTCATCACATCTAAATTCAAATACTAACATTTGTGCACACTGCTGTGATGATGAGCACGGGGAGCGTTTCACACTGATTGTATTCAAACCACAAAACCATTATCGGACCACTTCAACTACTTGAGGCACATTATCCAGTTACATTATTTAAACACAAGTGGCGGTGGTTATATTTACCGTCGTAGACCATGATATTCAGAATATGCCGTCCAAGATTACAGATTTAAAAAAACGACTTAATTCATCTGCCAGTTTGAGCTGATCCCTTTTTTCTGCACTGGTTAGAAAAACTGTCCCTCCACTCAGAGGTCACAGGATTGATTCCACATACGGGTCATGTGTCCTCGGGCAAGACACCAAATTTCTTCCTCCCTGCAGCCTGAATGTAATAAACGTTAATTTTACAAGCCGAGGTGATTAAGTCGAACACAGGCTGTATATTGCATGAACAACTTAATCACCTGCTGAGCAGGATGAGGGGATAGATCATTTTAACGGTGAAATCGTGATGTAATGACTTTGTTTCCCTTGGCACTGTGGGTTTTGTAATCGTTTCAGTGCAAATACTAATCAAAGCTCGATGACGCTGAATTTGGAGGGTGTTTGTAAATTTTAAAATCGAAACGGCTTCATTTATCTGCTGCTCTACAATTTGTTTGAAGGTTTGAGTTAAAGCGATTCTGATTAAGACACCTAATAAATGCAATAAAAAGAGCTTATTGACTCAAACTTATAGATTTATTATTATAATCAGTGTGGCCTGTTTCCTCTGTTTCAAACAGGTCCTGTTTGGGTGGATCTATCGTGGACCTTCATGCTTGACTCATAAAACTAGAAGTAATTGTTCTTTCGAGGATGTTAAGACATCACATTGTAATCAATACATTCACATTGACAGCCTTGACTCTTATAGATATAAAAATAAACGACTTCAGAACAATCATGAGTCTAAACTAAACCAGTCTGATGTATTAGTACGATCTAATTAATGATTCTGATCGGAGTAGGACTGTCGAGAGGATGCAGTGCAGTGGAGTGACTCTGAACTCATCACCTCCTCCATACGGTCCAGTTTAGATTGAAGGCGGTGTGGAAGAGCTGATGATCACACTCAACATTGAGTCATGATATTGACTTTGAAGAAGTGAGTCAGAGACGTGACGCTGCTGTAACATGTCAGTGTTTTCAGGCTCTGCTATGGAGGCCAACAAGGTGCAAATAAACTGAAGGCTTTGTCTTCTGCCGTAATGGATGACTGACAGACTGTCTGAGTGAGCTGCCACCCGACCATGTTCCCTGACCCTGACAAGACTGGAGCTGCAGAGCTGGTAGCACAAAACAACCCTGGGTGTGTGTGTGTGTGTGTGTATCTGTGTATGTGTGTGTGTGCGTGCGTGTGTGTAACCGAACATGACGATGGTCATCGGTGATCCCTCACCGCCTCGGGCGAACACTAGCTAAATGTACCTCACTCAGTCAGCAGCAAGACACTGACACGGATAGAGGCTCTGCATGTGTGTGTGTGTGTGTGCGCAAAATCCATGCATCCAGATAGCGATAGCAGTGTAGCTCCAGCCTCCATGTTTAAGCCGAGCTGCTGTGTTGTGTGCTATCACTGCTGCTGCTGCTGCTGCTGCTGCGGCGCAGAGATAGATAGGAGGATTGGGGCCGGCCGGGGCCCTTTCAAACCCCCAGAGAGCAGAAAGGGAGTGAGAGCTGGGCCTAAATGCAGAATCTCCTTAGCTCATACCCCCGAGGGACACAGACACAGGGCCATTTTCTGGGAGAGAATCATGCTGCCAAGCGGACAGCGGATTTACCATATTCATACCACTCTTTATGGGAGGGAGGAGGAGGAGGAGGAGGAAGAGGAGGAGGAGGGAGAGGATCTTCACCTGTCCCATTTCGCTACTACGACTGTATGTGGCTGCACCAGCTCGCTCGCACGGCCGCTAAAACCCCTAGGGGGAACCATTAAGGAGAACCTAGCTCACTCCCCACATTTCTCTCTCTCCCTCACCCCCCATTTTCCTCCCTCCCTCCCTTTTTCATATGAAGTATGAAGCCTCTCTCATTCATTCGATATCCCCACTAATAAGGCAGCGTGGTTCAGCCAAGGCCAGAGCTAAAATCCGGCAATATCGCCTGTCTCTATGTAGAAGTGGCAGGAAAAAAAAGAAGAGAAGAAGGGGGTGGAGAAGGCTGTAAGCAGCTATTTTCCAGGCACAGGCCCCTGATGAAAGATGTGTAGCTGCTAAAAAGTACAGCTGCTATATTACTGCTGCTGCTGCTGCTGCCAGTATGGAGAAAACAGCCCAGATTCATATCAATGTCTTTGATTGAAGCACCCGGAGAAAACCCGCCGGAGGACCGTTTGTCAAAGATGTCAACATGTGTGTGTGTGAGAGCGCGTGTTAGCGTGTCTGTGTGTGTGTGAGGATTTGGATTTGTCGAAAGATTTGTTTGGATACCTCGCTGGAATGAAGTGTGAGCGAGTAGGTGCATGACAACGTCGGTTTCCGTGTGTGTTTGCGGGCTTGCATGTGCGTAAATAAGTGTGACTGAGCCTTTGTATGTGTGTATTTGTGTAAATGCACTAGCCTGCGTGTGTATGTGTGTGTTTGAACTATGTGGATTGAGGTGGGGAGTGTTAGAGAGAGGGGCAGGCAGGCTAACAGATTCATATCCAATATGAAGAGGTTAAAGTGACGAGTCCAATCCTCCCCACAGAGCAAAGAGAGAATGAGATTGAGATGCGGGAGCAGGAGGAGGGAAAGCAGGGAGGAAGAGGAAAAGGAGGAGGAGGAGGAGGGAGCAGAGAGGGAGCAGAGAGGGAGGGAGGGGTGTAGTACAACAGATTAATTTCATTTCTGGACTGAGCGCTCCTCTGCTGAAGGGAAAAAAAATCAGGGGATAATAAAAGAGGATAAAAAAGAAAGGAGGAGGGGGGCAGTGATAAGCAGGAGAGCTGGGAGGAGAGAAAAGAGAGTTTTTCTGCTCCTTTATCTGATGTAGTAAATGTGTGTGTACTGTATGTGGGAGAGATTGGAGTCACGGAGTGCGAAGACGATTATGTGTTCAAAACTGCTCGTGAGTACGTCTGGCCTCTGTGGGGGGACGCGTCGCGGCTTCACAGGCTGACTTAGGTACTTTAAATCATGCAGAGCGGCTTAAAAAGTGAAACAACATTTGACTACAGCTCCCACTCCTCAGATCTGGACTATCTTTTCACAGCCCGCTGCTTCAGAGTCAGAGTTTTTCTGAATTTTTCTGTCGTTCTTTTTCCTTTTAGAAAGTTCTTCTTTTCGCTCTTAATGATGGATCATAACCAACGGAGCTGCGGTACGCTGTATATTAGAGCAGGCTTTTTATAGTCCCTGTGAGGACATTTGACTGGTTATGAAACAGAGTGAAATTAACAGTGAGGTCTCTTTTGTCCTCCAATAAAAGCAAACAAGACCACAGACGACAACAACAACGACGACGTCTAATATCACAATTTTGATGCTTGTATAAAACCAGATGATTTCCCACAGTAAATATTCACACTGAGAGTAACGACAGGGAGGATGACTCTCTTCATGAGCAGGACAAGATCAGCAAAGGGCGCTGAAGTCGACACTCACAGCAGCTTTAAACAGGGATGTCCCGATACGATGTTAATATCTGATATCAGTCTGATATCAGCAAAAAAATGACTATCGGCCTGTGTCTAAAATCTCCGATATCAGCACTCTGATAGAAGCGGTCTACTCTAGACTCCGCTCTGTCACCTCTATCTAGCAGCGCCCTGATCCAACATGCACAGCCCATGTAATCACGACAACAGTGTGTACTAAGGAACTAACGAAAGCAAGAAGTAGGAGCGATGTCGGCTGTTTGGCAGAATTTTTCGTTAAAGTCCGAAAAGACGTTGCAGCCGAGTGCAAAACTTGTCATGCACAAGTTTGTGCAAATATTGGATTAATATCGGTATCAGCCGATACTGAAGGCTACAATATCGGTATCGTATCAGAGGCAAAAACGTTGTATCGGGACACCCCTGGCTTTAAATGTACAGAAATGTCATTTTTTATTAGAGATGCACCGATCCATTTTTTTTCCGATCCAATCCGATATCGATACCTGGACTGAGCGTATCGGCCGATGAATGAATGAATGAACTGTATATTTTGCCCTGTGATTGACGGCATCAGGCTTGAGATTAGCCTTGTTTTAAAAAAAGTAACAAATTAACACAGATATAAATTTACTTAACATTATTTATTAACAAATTTCACATTAGCACACAGCAAAAAGAAGTAAGACCTTCATGTATTAAAAGTAAAATGAATTAAAGGATCAGTGTCACTCGTCAGATATCCGATCCGAATATTGGGTCGGTCCATTTCTATTTTTTACAGAACATGTGACGCAGGAAACAGCGCTTAGAGTGATTTAGCAATCCTATCGACACGTCGTTTGTCTCCAAATACTTTTAGCGTTTTCTGCAGCATGTGTATCATCACAGCCGGCGCCAGAACTGGTTGGTCACGTATGATAACCCTTGCTCATGCTCATGTCAGTGGAAGGGCAAACTACACGAACTGCACTAAAGACGTTTTTCAGAGCCGTTACAAATCACCTAACCACACGACACAAATGCATATATTCTTCTACCTGTGGCGCACTCATCAGCTGTTCTGACAAAAATACCACAACAACAAAAAGATCCTAAAAGCGAGGATGTCAGGCAGTTTACTTTAAACACGAGAGGACACCTCCAGACCCAAACTCATCAAACTGAAGGACAGAGAAGAGAGACTTCAGTGGCCACCCTGAAAGCTGAAACCATGATTGGATATTTGCCTTGTCAAAAAGCAGCACTTAGATTAAAACGAATGGTTTGGGTCGGGTTTAACAAGCTGCTTTTTGCATTTTACTGCGGGACGTGATGACTTTGGTCAAACTTTTTGAGGTCCTTTTGCAGATTTCAATGTTGACACTCACAGTTAAAAATCAGGTACATACCCCGGTCAGAGATTCTGGCTCTACTGTTTTCTGAGACCCCAAGTCACCTGGTAGTTCAGAAGCCAGAAATCTCCTTCAATTACTCGCTCTGATAACGTCAGCAGCCCGCATTCAAGCCTTCACCTTTTGGTTGCTATGAAACCTTCTTACCGAAAACAGCCAACCCTTCCTGTTCTGCTCTGATTTCTATTTAAAGGTGTATGAGTCGATCAATAAACCGAAGTCTCACCTGAGGAAACTCTGAACACAATCGTAAACACCTTCTCCGTTGCCTCAATCTGCAGTGACTAGATTATGGTTTTTGTTTCATGTGTTTTTTTTTTCACAGAGCGCTCCCGAGAATGAGCGTGAACTCGTCGAGGTTTCAAGTGTCACTTTCATGTGTCACCGACCGGCGACAGCGAGAGTCTTTCCACTTCAGGGAGGCTCGAATCCCTCATGCAAAAACACATCTCATGTTGTGAATACATATTATTACCCGCTGCGGTTGCACTCTGTGTGATTGTTAAACATTTGTACAGAATGTTGGGTCTGCAGAGAGGTCCTTTCACTCCATCTGAGACCACAGCTCACATTTAAAGCTGATGCATGAGACAGGTGAAAGATTTTCTACTATTAGACTCGGCAGTCGCTGCTGGAGACGTCTCAGCCTGACATCTTGCCATCTGTTGGCTGGTTATCTTTGACGCATAAGAAAATTACACCATCAAACAACAAAATGGACCCAGAAATGCACGGTAAATAGCCAGCAGCTGTTCTCTGCTGCGTTTGCGTGGATTTTTTTTTCTATATTTCTACTTTAACTCAGCAGGCACTCAAAGAGCATCCAAACTGGATTCATTGCGTGCATTAGATGCAGTACATACAGCTCATGCAGGTACTTGTGAGGCTGTCTAGCGATGCTCTTAGTCTGTTAAGCTCGTTGAAATTGGCCATCTAAAGCGCCACTTTGTGCCTCTTTTTCTGCAGTTTGTTGACAGCGTAGGCAGAGGGGGGGAAGGACCGTCAACAAAGCAAAAAGTTCAAAAAGAAGAAAAAAGGAAATTCAAATTGACATTAAAAGACAAAAAACAAATAGTTTTGTGCCCACATGTGGTGGACGGTTCAATTAGGAGCAGCATCAGCTGTAGCGTCTGCCAGAAAACACCTTCTAAAAGCCCTTGAGTGTGGAGTCTGGTGATAGCATATGTGGGTGAAAATGAGTCACACAGCGTAAGTGCATGTATGTATTTGAGGGTGTGTGTGTGTGTGTGATGTTGTGTGTAATGTGGGTAGGAGGTTAGTTGAGTACAGCAGATTGAAGCACTAACCAAAGCACTCAGATTTATTAAAAAAGGGCCGGACCCGGCTCATGCGGCCCCCTCCTCTTCCTCTCTCTCTCCATCAGCTTTTGTTGTCACTTTACTTCTGTCTCCATGCATACATACAGCCCCCCCCCACCTCCTCATCCTGCATGATATTACGTTTTTCACTAAAAACCCGAGAAGGAGGGGTGTGCGGGGGAGGAAGGAGAGGAAGGATGTGATGTTCCTGAGGTAAATGGAGGGGACCCCGAACCCCTCCCTCCCTTCTCCGCACACGCCTCCTTCTCCTCCCTTTGCACATTCATTACCATAACTCCGGTCCGCTAAATTAAATTGGGGGGTCTAAATCTCCCGATTTCCCCCCCAAAACAAACGCTGACCACCAGCCAAGGGGACGGACGGACGGGTGGGGAGAGGAGACAAAAGAGGAGGAATCCAATCAAACTAACCCCACTTTTGTCATCTGACTTTATTAGCTAAATGTATCAGCGGCGGGAGGAAACGCATTGTTGGCTGCAGGGATTCATATTGCTTAGGAACACACATGCTCGCAGACACACAGACACGCGGCACAAAGGACACGCGTTAGCTCTCTGTGTGTGGTTTATTCAATACAAACTATGTTGTGGAGCATAAAACGTCCCTGCGGCGCTGCAAACGGCGAGATTACATTACAGTAGCGCACATAAACATGCAAACACTCAGAGAGGAGAGTGCACTCAGCCGCACACTCTCACACAAACACAGACACACACACCGTTCTGCTTATCCACGGCCTTGTCACATTTTAATCTCTATAAAAAAGGCCCTAAAGCTTCGAGACGGCGGAAGCGCGCATCAGGACGAGCTTACTCACGCTCGCACAGAGAGATCACACACTGGCTTCATTATGTCAGAGACCTGTGAAGGAGGACAGGAGCCCTTCCTAAGCCCTGTTCTTTCTATTCATGCAGGCAGGGGAACAAGATCACCGCCTTCAGGTGAGCACAAAAGACCAGCACTTCTGTATTACATGCAGCAGCGGCGGCGGCAGCGGCAGCAGGCGGTGATGGACGTGAAGCACACCCACCTGCTGGAGATGGCATAGAAAGAGTGGCCTTCTAAACGCGGTCAAAAATTCACAGCAAATAACATCATCATGATCTTTGACCCATGAATAACAGATGTGCTATAATGCAGAGAAAAGAACTCGGAAATATTTTAACTTCTTCAGTGTACTTTAATTTGAACAGATATATATTTCCTCAGAACTCGCTAAAAGGAAAAATTTCTCTCTCTGACTAAACTATCTTTTTTAAAGCTGGTGGACAAAGAGATCTTTGGTCAAAAACAGATTAAATACCAGCTGGATCTGGGAGCGCAAGTATAACTTTTATTCGCTGTATTCAAGCAAACTGAAGTCTAATTCTTCACCCAGAAAGTATGTGGTGGTCGAGAACATTTTCATGCTGCAACAAGATCCAGCGTCAAGCGTACACCCCTCTCACTTCTGTCGCTGCCTTGGACAACTGAAGGACAACAGAGCTCTACCACTGCACCTATGAGAGCGACTAATTACTGCGGCGTCACTATCGCGCCTTTAACTGAAAAAAGACATGCAGCTGAGGGAATCGAATTATCGACGTGAACGTGTCCTCCTCCCTAAAACTAGGGGGCGATATGGGTCTTTTCAGCGGCGCTGTTTCCGACCCCAACAACAGCAGGTCTGTGCCGCACGTCAGAAGTGGTAGAACTGCTGCTGGGCATTTTCGAGCAAGAAGACGGAGCGATTAAATCGGCCAATTTTAGCCTATTTGAGACTAATTGGTAACCGTCCAAAACAGAAATAAAATAAGTTGTATAAGTTGGGGGTAGTTAAAAACGCTTTTCTGGTCCGAGTTTAATTCATGATAAATACGTGGAATATTACTGAGATGATCAGTCGGTCTTCCTGTCGGCGTGAAGAGCAGTAAACAACTGCAAAAGAATGAGGTATTTAGTAACATAAGAACAATATTAATATAACATAGTTAACTATTTGTACTTTACACAAAATACCTCATTATTCTTTTTCAGTTGTTTTAGCAGTAAAAAGGATTTGAAATGAGTTTTCTGCCTTTGATTCTTTGAAGAAGTGTTTGAAAGGCTCAAAAGCAGCCATTTGTTAAAAAAAAAGTAGATATGTAGATCTATTACTTAAATTAACAACATTTTAAAACTTCATAAAAAAATTGTCCAACTAATCGGTAATTGGATTCATATCGGTCAGGCCCTATACATGAGGTACACACTACTTTTTCTGCAAATGAGTTGCACGCTACTCCTCTTCTCTAGTGTTTTTGTTCCAAGGTTACGGGGGCATTGCGCACGCGCACATGCATTGTCAGATCATACTCCGAAGATGTTGGTTACATGGTGGAGAAAATCGAATTCCAATCGCATTATCTGGATGTCTTCATCGGAGTTTACAAACTTCAATTATAGTCAGACGAAGGTGTTTACGTGCACTTCAGTTGTCCGGTCTTAATCGGAATAAGGCGATAATTCAGTTTTCTCGAGTGTAAACGTACTGAGTGATTTCTGTAATCATTGTTTCAGGCACTAAATGTAGGTCAGAAGCTAATGAGCCGACATAAAGATACACAAAGTAGTTTTTCTAGTTTACATTTACACTCTCACTGGTGTTTCATGTACGCTGTGTAACCTAATTGTTCTGAAACAGTGGCTCTGACCTCCGATCAGCCGCTAATCAGGCCTTCCTTTCCCCCTTTTACCCTCGTGTTCCCTTTCCTTTCTACCTTGCCTTTTTTCCTGGCCTAACACATCCTGTGGCATGCCAGAGCCAAGGTGGGGAATTAGAGTGATGTAGGGAGTGAAAGGCGGGATGGAGAGCAGCGTGAAGAGAAAGAATGTGAGACATGAGACGAGTGAATGGGCACCGGGTTCTTTATGGCATTTCTGTGCAGTGAGGAGAAAGCCCGTGGATGGACACTGTGTTGGACAAAGGGGCAGCACACGCTGAGTGCATTCGATTAGGGGTGAGCATTGGTGTTAAACCAAAAATGGTCCCCTGCTGTGGCCAGGATTCATTATTTAGCGGGGGTGTAAAATGGACGCTGGCCGGTATACACACACACACACACACACACACACACACACACACACACACACACACACACACACACACACACACACACACACACACACACACACACACACACACACACACAAAACCACAAGTGCAGCAATGAGGCATCAGGGAAACACCAATTTTCACACACACATACACATCAGGAATAAGTACCCGGTAAGTATGCTGTTAGTCATGTTTACAGGTACAGGTAAACCAGAAATGTCCTCACAAATGGACACAAACATACACACACACGCTTACATATGATTGGCGATTACAAACCCAAAGGGAGCGAGACAGTCAAATACAGCCTGAGTACAACCGATTTAGCCCCTAATGGTCTTTGAGGCCATCAAGAGCGAAAGACGAAGATGACTGTCCGATGAAGTGTGTGTGTCTCTGTGTCTGTGTGTGTTTGTGTGTGTGGAGGAGGAGGACATTGTTTACATGCGTTCTTCTCCGTCCATATGTGTCTAATGGCCTATGAATGTTTCCACGGTAACAATGACAGTTTGAGCTGGTTGGGAGGACAGACGTATGGACAAAACAGTGAAGGGGAAGTAGAGTTCAGACGGCCATATTTGGTAATGTGGGAGATTCTTATTCCATATCTGCACAGCGGGAGGTGTCCATAGTGGAAAATGACTTTTATCGTCTTTGTGTGTCCAAGACAAAAGGTCTGCATATATGTTTGTATATGTGTGTGTGTGTGTGTGTGTGTGTGTTTACAACAGCATACACAGATTTGAGTGTAATGTTCTGTACATGCATGTCTGGGATGGAAGGTTAGATCTTTGACACTTTTCTTTAACCCACAGTGTGACTCCAATCGCTGCTACAGACTAGATATGAAGATGACTTGTTTTCTGTTTGGCAGCTGTGATCTTATATGTTCAAAGTTTTACCACTTTGCAACACAGTGTTGTGTCTAGTCACCCGACTGGCATTATTATTTTAGGGGTCCGGGTTGAAAAGTCTGGTGAACGCTGATCTAAAGCGACATAAATAAAATGCATCAACAGGGCTTGACACTAACTTGAACAAGTAAGGAGCTCACAGAGAACTTTAAGGGCACAATGAAAATTTATCAAATTATGTGTGTCCTATTGGTCAACATAAGTACTATTATTTGAGATTAATTTTAGATCAATTGGTCACATGATATGGAAGCTATTGGAGGTACACAGCTTTTTTTGAGAACATTAACTAGTAATTTATTGACGGTCCCTAATTCAACACCTGGCGAGTAGATTTGACTGTGCTGCGCTTGCTATTTCCGGTTATGGCGAGTGAGAAGACACCAGTAGATCTGTCATGAATGTCCATCGTATATCTAACCTAAAGCACATGTACGCCTAAATACATTCTATAATTCGCACATATCTATTTTTAGTCGCAAATGCCCCGATTGATGTACAAATTTAGTTTAATCAGGTTTTGTTTATCTGCTTTATTTCCAGGTTTCTTTTATGGGTTGATCACTGGTATCAGCATTTATTGGCCCTGTTGACTAATATCTGCACATCTGCGAATAAGGTGTCATGCACCAATATGAGTTACAGATGAATCAGCTTATCTTTATCTCCATCACATAGATGTAAATCTGGAGAATATTACACCTTACTGCCGATGCAGACAAAGTGAACTATTTTAATGTGAAATGTAGTGAGGAGAGAAAAATCAACCCTCTTTATAAAACCTGATGTATGTAGAAATATTTCCTCCTCGCTCAGGATGATTTGTGCAGATGAGGATCATGAATTCCTAATAGTGTTGTCATAAAAGTGTGTGTCTGTTAAGTGGCGTGTGTGTGACCTGGTTTGACAGTAACACCAGTCAGTCTGTATGTTTATGCATTTGTGTGCAGCTGACATGTAAATGCATTAATATATGCATGCATGTGTTTGAGACAGCAGCTCCAGAGCAGATCCATCCTCAGATGGAGTTTGTGTGTGTGTGTGTGCGCATGTGTGTGTGTGTGTGTGTGTGGTATGCAGAGCCCAGGGTGGGGGCGAGGCGGCTTAACGCAATAAAGCATGTTGTATTGACATCTGTGTTGTGTCTATTGATTCCCCATTATGGAGCTAACAAACCCGCCTGGACGCTTTGTCATTCGCAATCACGTTAGCACCGGGACTCACCAACAACGCTGCCCCTTTTAAAATCTGATCTATACACACACGCGCGCGCACACACACGCACAAAAGCAGGTGTCGCACACTTGCTCGCATTCCTACACTTGCTGCAATCGTTCATGTCACCACGAACCCCAGCCCACACAAATTCTCATGCGCACAAATCATCCGTTCACACACACACACACACACATAAACAAATAGTGTGGCAGGAGAGTAGTCAATGCTAGCTAATCAATAGCGGTGGAAGGTTAAAACCACTCACACAATGGGCAGCTATGAGCTGCTTGCGGTTTTCAGATAAACCACACATGCTGGACGGATCCATAACTGACCTCAACGTGCAATTATTGAATCATCTACCTGTCTGCCTCGCTCACACACACACACGCACACACACCCACGGTAGCTTCATGCCAACACATACACTTAAAAAATTCATGCATTCAAGCTTTTCCAACCTAATCTTTGGGAACTGCTGCAAACACACATATTTTATACAATTACACACACTTTTTGCGCACTTATTTTGCACAAACATGCTCACAAACTCACAAATGCTCAGAATAACACTGAGTTAACACAAAGAAATGCTGCTCCAACTTTATACAATTCTCTAGTCCCTTCACGGAAACTTGCCATAATACACTTTTGCACTCTGTCATGCACAAACTCTCACAGACACACACACACAAACACACACACACATAAAAACAGCCAATTAATCCTGGCACTAGGGCCTTTGCTCAGGCCCAGTTTGGTGTGGCCCAGACAACACAACACAACCCCCCTCCTGGGCAGCACGAGGTGAGGATCCTGGGTGGGAGACAAGGTAGTTATCGAGCAGCACGAAGCACTTTGTGTGTGTGTGCGTACGTGTGTGTGTGTGTGTGTGCGTGTGGGCAGGAGGTTTTTCTTTGAAGTCTGCAGCTAAAGTTTCTTTGCAGTGGTGTTAAACAATGGACTAGGATGGAGTAAGCACGCCTCATTGTCTTGTTGTTTCTGTACCTTCCTCTGTTCTGTTTCTCGGCTCATTTGGATTTGATCGTTCTTCTCTCTTCTGTTGTTTCTTTCACTTTTCAAAAATCACCTGCTTAAAATATGTTTGCACAGCCTCTCTGATTGATTCTCTCTCCTCGTGACCTCTCATCACTTCGCTCGTATGTTTTTCTGCCGCGTTAAGACGTGAAATATCTGGAAAAATCAAAAATCAAAGCAGAACAGGTTGGACTGGGGGAGTAAAATCAACACTAAGCTGGATAACTACAGCGTGGATAAGAGGCTCCTCAGAGTAGCCAACATAAATAAACCATCCCTCTCAATGCAGACGTGTGCCGTCTCTCGGAGAATTTGACAGCTCTTGGTTTTATATGGGCCACGCTGGCCCTGGAGGACTTTACAGCCGTGTACATAAAATAAAAGAGCATTTAGATTTCCTTTGTTGTGGCACAGAGCAGCAGCAGCCACAGGTCCCTCTCCGCCCAGCCTGCTCTCTGGAAATCACACAGCAGACACTGAGACTGTCAGGTCAGATCTGTGAAAGGACAGGCTCATCGACCAGGAAGTGAATATTCAATCTGATTGTTCATCACTAAATCAATCTGTACATTTCTGCCAATTTCCAACACGCAGATGTTTTCAAACTCATTTTGGACGACACTCACGCCAACACAAGTGCATCATCATCATCATCATCATCATCATCATCATCATCAGCCTGTGGGAGCTCTCATTTCCACCGCACTGAAAGGCTTGTTATCAAGAGCGATGAATTAAATGATTTCCTTGTTAAGCTCCTCTACCTTTGAGTGGTCACTGCTTTGTCAAATGACTGAACGAGAGGCTGCTGACAGGTTCTCTAAAGGCTCTCTGTGCTGCAGGATGACAGTTCTCCTGATGCACAATTAAATTAGCGCTGTTCAAAAAAAGCCTGTTTTGCTTCTAAGCGTTGCAAATCGCTGATTCCTGAATGTTGATGACAGTTCAAAGTCCTCTCATACAGCGAATATGTCGCCGCTCCTTGTTGGCGTGTGGAGGCTGTCAGTGCGTGTGCATAATTACCGCGCCGCCTCCTATGATTGACTTTGTGAGCTTTCCAGTACAGATACAACGCTAGTAACGTGAAGCTAACAGCTTGACAAATAGAGAGGGATTCCAAGTTTGAGATGTGGGGTTAGGGCTGGGCGATATGGCCTCGATATAGGTGAACAATATATTGAGCAGTTCACCTCGATAACGAGAAACAGACGATAACTACTCCACAAGCTTCTCACCCCCTCCCACGTTAACTTCGTCTACTTTTGAACCGTCCTCCATCTCCTCTCCTGTCTTTCCCTCTTTGTTACAGACTGGATGGGGCGGGAGTCACGTCTCTGACGTAGGACAGCGTCTTAAAGGGACATGAGACCATAGTCTACCTACACACATCCAAAACCAACTTTGATTTATTCATTTATTTGTTTTGACACGGAATATACTGACGTAGGCAAAATGACGTCCGTTATTGTCGTTCGTTTGTTTGTTTATCGTCCACAAGTGGAAATTTGTCTTTAGTCTCATCGTGAACATAAAAACAGATCAACAGTAACACGGACAGCAGCAACAGACACACAACAGGCAGATCTACAGAGACATAGACCTACTATCATTCAGTCTCTGATGGCGTTAGGAATGAAGGAGTTTTTGAGGAGGTTACGATTTGCCTTCGGTACTTGATACCGTCTGCCTGAACGAAGTATAACGAACTCACTGTACGGTGGGTGAGAAGGATCATTTACTATCTTCACAGCTTGTTTCCTCATCACTTCCTTGTAGATACAGCTTTAGTGTTTCTGTGGCTTCCCTGTGATTTTGAGGCTAGATTCATTATTTCCTGCAGCTGACATCTGTCTTTAGTGTTTAGGTTACCAAACCACATTGGTTAAAGGTTAAGATTCCCTCTGTGAGGTTCTTATAGACTGTCTCCATGATGTTCTTACTCGTTACTTGCGTAAATTTTGTCGTAAATTTTGGTATTGTTAAATTTTCAGTTTATCGTCTAGCCCTACACGAGGTGCTGGTTTGGCCTGGTGTTTAAACACCCTGGTGAGATGTAGACCCTTTAATGGCATTTTGATATCGTCTGCATCACGTCAGCACCAGCTCTCAGAAGGCTGATATTGCTTTTATCGTTCCAAATCAAAATCACACTTACATCAGTCACTGTTAAGAAGAATTCAGTTTATTAATAGTGTTAATATTTACCTTGCATGTTTTTTTCTTTTTTTGTGAATTTCAGATAGCTGGACAGAAATACTCTGGTATTTGTAGCGATATTTTACAGAGCCAAGTGTTTTTACACCAACTTTTATTTCATGAAACGATCAAAGGGTCAGCAGTTTACTCTCAGATTTGTTAGTCGAATGTTTAAAAAAAACAACTATGTGATATTTGTGCTATAGATCAGCTAACCTGCTTTCTCATTATCAGCCTCAGCCTTTGAAAAAACGATATGAGTCGACCACTAATCCTAGCCTGTAGGGAAAACTTCAGTCATGTCGACTTAAAACTGTGAAATAATGTGATTTAAATGTTTCCTGAATTTTAATAATAAAAGTAAAGCCTCAAAAAGAAAGTGCAGGGTGTTATAAGTTAATAAAGTGATCTATCTTTATTGCCTTCAATCAAATGATATATATACACACAAAAACATGAGTGTGAAATTGAAGGAGAAATAAGAGATGGAGGGAAACTACTGTGAGTCTGTGATAACAAATTCAATCCAGTGAGTGTTTTAAAGCGTTTTACCGCGGTGACGTGTCCTAGGCCCGGCTGAGCTGAGGCCAGCGGTCTCCACACTGTAGTGTTAAAGAGTCGAGCTGACAAAAAACCCATAAGCCCTCAGTTTAGATCCACTGTAAAACCACTGTCTGCTAACGTCTGCTGTTTAGGACCGCTCTCTCCCTGCTTCTCCACCCAACCTCGCTCACCTCGTCTTACACTCCTGACACCCCGTCTCTGCTCCTGACACACCGGCGTATGCACACACACACACACGCGCACACTCGAGACACACTCAGACTTACAGGTGCAGGCAATCGCACAGCTGCACACACGCACACCTTGGTCAAAGGCGCAGATCAGAGAGAGACAGAGAATTGTGGGTAACAGACTTAGCTAAAGTGGCTTATGGGGGCCCCGGCCAAACCACACCAGGCAAATCCAATTCAACAACCTCCCTGTCCGCGGGGAGCGACAGAGAGAGAGAGAGAGAGAGAGAGAGTAAAAGAGGGAGTGAGAGAGAGAGGGAGAGAGAGGGGAGTTTGCATTTTTCTGAAAAGGCTTTCGTGTCAAGTGAATACTTCACAGAAATGAGAGAATGAGAAGCAGCGGATTGTGAGTTTCTTTCTCTCAGGAGATTAAGGATGAAAGACGGAGGAGAGAGGAGGAAAAAACAGAGGAGGAAATGAGGGATGAGTGTTGGCCTTTGCTCTGCTACCAAGTTTATTCCTCTCGTGTGGATTGGCTGCTTATCACACTAACATGTTTAAATGAAAAAGCTGCACGTACACGCTCTCTGACCCTTTTCCACAGGATGAAAAAACATGAGGAGGAATTGCTACAGTCGCTCATTTTTCCACCTCTGCTGACTTCTTTCTTATTTTTCATCCTTTCCCTCCATAAATGATTGATTCTTTCATTTACAAACATATTTCATCACGGCTCTCACTCACTTTTGAATCCATTCTCTTATTAATCCACTCCTTCTCCCTCAGCCTCTCAGTTTCTTGTATTAATTCAATCCTCTGATTCGTTCACCTGTTAATTCTCTCACTGACACTTTCACCTTCTCATTCATTCATTATTCATGTATGCACTCGCTCATTCTCTTATTCATTCACTCTCTCCCTCAAACCCCGCCCCCCACCTCTCTTCTTCTTCTTCTCCTTTCACTTTAATTTCTTAAAGGACCAACAGAGAAATTGACCCCACCCCCTCTTTTCAAACGCCACCAGCCCAAAACCGGCGCTTATATGTTGCCTGTCAGAGCCGCTCTCATTAAAACCTCAACCGTTTTTCTCCTCCTGACACCTACTTAAGGTGATAGCCTGAATTACCCGCCACAGCACGCCACGGCACGACTCGTGCGCACACCTACTCCCCCCTCCACCCCCAAGATGTCATTTGAAATTTCCGCCTGGGTGGATTAAGGGGGGAGGGGAAAAAGGGGGAGCTTCACTGTCACCCTTCTTTGCGAACCCCCCACCTTGAATATGTAGACGCGCTCCTGCGCAAAACACAAACAGACGCCAACAAGTCGCACTTTTCAAACTCATACAGGTGACGGAAATGAGAGGAAAGCAGGTGCATTCGGAGCTGAACTTTGACCTCTAGTGTGTGGTCGCTGGGACAAACCAAAAAAAACCTCTTAATGTGCTTTTAACGCTTCTTTTCTGCAAAACAGATCCTGTGATTTTATCTTCTTTCAATTTTTAATTTACCTGCAAAAGAAAAGAAATCTCAAGCGTAATTACGAGAGATTAAAAAACAGCATAAAAAGCATTAAAATCATTATTGATCAGAGTGTAAAGACAATAACTAGCTGCTCAGTATTATTTTACACTCAAAAACTCAAGGACTATGACTCCAGATTTAAAGTCACTTGTTTCTGTAAACATCATTTGTTGAAGAGCTTTAATCCTCTGTTTCTCTGTTTCCTTCCTCTCCACTTTAGCCAAACTTTCTCACCCCGCCAACTTCACTGTACTCCTGTTTTCCCAATGCGACCCCCAGCCCGGAGATCAATACCTCCTGATCGATGGATGACCATGAATATTCCCCCCTAACCCGGGTGAGAATGAGCGAAGGAGGAGAGGAGAGGAGCGAGGAGAAGAGAGGAGAGGAGACAGATGGAATGAGGGTTTGAGATGGATAAATTGCTCATGAATGAAAGAGGGAAAAGATGAGGGGGAGCGTGTGGCGCCTCCGTGAGACTGTGATGGATGCTAATGAGCCCGATATTCATGCATGCAATTTTGGGTTGCGCATTTTGGATTCAAAGGCGAGTAAGTATTTTAATTCAATTCTCTGCTTCCTGAATTTTTTCCTGGTCGTTCACCGAAAAGACAAAAAAAATGGTCCGTGATACGAACCCTTAGAATTTACTATTAACAAGTGATAAAGTAAAAGATGTAGTTCAGCATTTTTAGACACAAAAAGCAGAAATCAAAGCAGAATTTAGTGCAAATGGAACATGTTGATTTTCTTTGGGTGTAAATGAATCTTTCAGTTAAACTTGGACACTTGAGAAAACGCTTGCAGGGAGTTTGAGTGTTTAATCTTTCTAAATAAATAGAGGGGTTGTATTTATGTCCGTGTATTTCATTCATGATCTTTGGAGTGTTTAAACTGACTGTGAGTTAAATCTGTAGAGGAGCTAAAGTCAGACTAAAGTGTGTGATCTTTGTGGTTTAATTTAAAGAGTGAAGAGATTATTCTGACATGGTTTTGGTTTCTGTGTAGGTGCACACTGGAGAGATGAAAAAAAAAAAAGAAAACACCGGGTAAAAAAAAAAAAAGAGGGTCTTACCGGGGCTGGACCGTGGAGCCAGCGAGGACTTGAGTCTCCAGGCGCTGAAGTCGGACGCTGTTCTCTGAAAGACGAAGGGGACCGGCAGGGGGACAAACATGGTCCTCTGTCGACCTGGGGGTCGTCTTTTTTTATTTTAGTCTCACTTTTCTTCGTTTCTTATCCTTCGTGCTTCTGTCGTTCTTTGGCCTTTCTTCGTCTGCTCTTCCAGGGTTGTGGACAGTCAAGACGCTTTGGGTGGTTCTGGAGGAGGAGGAAAGGAGTCTCCGGGTTCGTTTATTTGTCCTCCTGTGCCTCGGTGTGATCACATTTCTCTTGTGTTTTTTGGATTTGTGGAGCTCTCTAGGATACACACGCAGATCTATCTCACGGTCTCCTCACTCGTGTCTTCAAACTCGTGCGGCACACACTCACACACGTACAGGCTGCGATGTGCGGGACGCGCGGAGACGGCTGTGCGGCTCTGGGATCCAGATAAAGCTAACAGTGGTGATCCATCCGGGTTAAGTCAGGCTGCAGGTGACTGGACAGTGGACTCTTTCTGAGATCGTCGCACCCATGTGGATCTAATAAAGCTGCTGCTCTCCATGAATCGCAACACGGACGCGAATAGACTCCATGTATCGTGTCCAGACGGCTGTGCGTAAAGATCGCAGTGTCCCTCCGTCTGCGGGTGTCCTCCTCGGCTGGGTTTGCTTTGGTTTAAAGGTGGAAATGTCTCCTCTTGCGCTGTCATGAAAAACTCTCCCACGAACAGTCCTCTGGTGGATCCTCGGCGCAGAAATCCGGGATCAAACTGTCCGTGTAGCGGTGGAGTTGCTTCTTTTTGGTTCTGGTATAAGATTTGGTTTAGTAGCTGGCTGGTCTGCTGAAGAAAACGCGCACAAAGCGACACGATAATAAAAGGCTAAAGCATTATTTGGTAAAAAGATGGAATAATCAAATCATAAAGTAAGGCTATGCAGGCACCTCCTGTCTGACTTTCGCTCCTCCCTCTCTCTCCTCTCCTCGTTGTTTCTCTCTCTCTCTTTTTCTCTCTGTCTCTACCGCGGGTCACTAATTAAAGCAGAATCGATTGATAAATAAATGAATAAATCCATATCAATAAGTACACCTGTCCTCCGCTTTCCTGCTCCACTGATGCACGAGTGAGAGAAAGAGGAGGGGAAAGCGATTCCCCCTTTTTCTTTTCACGCGTCTTTTCTTTGGCTGTGCTCCGCCATCCGCCGGTGTGTATCTCTCCTCCGCTTCCTCTCTCTCTTTCTCTCTCTCTTCAGTCTCTCTTCAGTCTCTCTTCCTCTGTGTGTATCCTTCCTCCTCGTGTGTGTGTGTGTGCGTCCCCTCTGTTTATTTCAGGAACCCCGGTGGTTTCGGTCCGACACCGCGCAGCCTGAACGCACTCTGGCACGGCGAAGCGCTCTGACCGGGAGACAGACACAGATACCCCCACCCTCCTCCCTCTCCTCCTCTTTTTTTTAACCCCCCTTTTCTTTCCTTCCCACCCCCTCTGTACCTCAATCCCCCCTTTTCTCCCTCAACACACTCATTCATACACAAACATACACACACACATCCCTGCAGTCATGCACATTTATGCACACATCTGAGCCTTCACTTCCACTTCGCTTTCTCGTGGGCTCATATCACAAAAAAACAACTTATGCACGTGTGTAAATCCACGCTAATTAACCATTTATTCTCCTCTACAGCCCGAGCTGATTATGCGTGTTTCAGAGCAGCCACACGCGCGTGCACACTCGCTCCCCTCGCCCTCTTCCTGACCACCATAATCCCGAACAAGACAAGCACAGATCCAGCCAATTGATCTTCTGATTACTTCATTATAATGAAGCCAATAATCACATCATCGCCGGCCTCCGGGAAATCGATCGGCTCTTCACAATGTGCGGACATGAATTCAAAAGGGGGGTGAAGCTTTGATGTATATTTCAGCAGGAGGCTCTCTCTCCCCCTCTCTCCTTCTCTCTCTCATATAAATTTACGTGGGCCTGGCCTACGCAAGGTCACCTGCAGCACTCAGCTAATGTATGTTCCTGCACACAGAGGTGAATAATAATCACATGCTGCAGAGCCAAGGGTGTTAAATTAGTCATTATAGTAGGCTAGGGGAGGCTGCGTGGACGTGTGCGTAAAATGTGCGTAAAATGTCAGTTGGGCTGCATCTAAATTGCATGATTTTCCTATTAGGGTTCAGTGAGAATAGTTGCCCTGTGTGTGTGTGTGTGCCTGTGTATATATGTGCGTGTGTGTATGAGTGTGTCCAGGGAAAAGGTGCCTCCCGGCCATCAACTCTCTCCTCTCCTCACTGTGGAGCACCCCGCCCGGCTGTCAACCGCGCCGCCTCAGCCCTCGCTGCGCATTTACACTCCAGATTATCGCCAACATAGATTTTTTTAAATAGAAAAATCCATACGCTAAATATCGCAGTCAATAAAAGAAAATCGACCACACACGCGCACGCGCGCGCACACACACACACACACACACAGTTGTTTTCCCCCCCTCTCCGTATTCACTCCGAGTTGGGACTGAGCTGTTAATAAGTTATCGATCAATTATGGTCTCATATATGGAGAGGCCTCGGGCTCTTTGCCAATGCTAATGTCCACTCAGGGAGAGAAAGAAAAGCTCATGTATTAGAAAAGGAGAGAAACATCATCAGAGGCGTCCATGTGCTGTGCACCCACTCTGCAGCTGCAGCTCGACTACTACTGTGGACACTATCACCACCATCACCACCATCACTGCTGCAGCTGGTTGGGAGCATGACTCTGTAGAAAAAAAACCACCATAAACACACAGAGACTTCAGTAAAAATAAAAACACCTGTCTGAGAAGAAACTACTTTAAGAGACATCTACTCAAGGGTGCATACATACACTACAGCTACTGCTACTCTCTGTACTTCAAGTATCAGTGCTGAATCTACAGCCTATCTGCTGTCTGCGACCACTACCACAACTACAACACTTCAGAATCAGAATCAGAACCTCTTTATTGTCCCAAAAGGGAAATTAGGCTACGTTCACACTGCAGGTTATGATGCACAATTCAGATTTTTTGTTAAATCTGATCTGTGAACGGAATGCGCCGTGAAGTGACCCGTACATGTACAAAGCACAAATTGCTTCCCGCGCCTGTTTGTGTCGTTGAACAATGGTGACGTTTGTCGCATATTGATGACGTATAGGTCGGATGAACGCGACCTGAGTGTCCACACTGCAGTTACATCGGATACATATCCGATTTATATCCACATACAAAAGAGGCCTGGGTCGGATTTGAAAAAATCAGAATTGCACTGCTCACACTTAAACGTCTTTGTTTGAACTTTCATCTGTGCTAAGTAACTTTAGCTCGTAAGCTAACCTGTTCAGATACAACATACCATATGTATTTCCTGAATTTTTCCTTCCCAAGCACCGGTAGTAGTAGAAGTAGTAGTTGTAGTAGCAGCACAACCATGGTCTAAGGTCTGCATTAGGGTCATGTCTCTTGCCACCAATATGTTCTACCTGATCACTTCCTGACTCTACCTTTTACAGCCAATACTACCACGACTTGTACGACTACTGCGATGAGAAGTAGGAATAGGAGTGGTTGTTCGTATTTGTGTTGGATGCTGTCAGAGCCGGCCCAAGCCTCAATGGGGCCCTAAGCAAAATGTGATTTTGGGGGCCTCTATTACTGCTAATAATATTGATTGTTGATCATTCACACATCTTCACCAATCTCTTTGAACATAACTTTATCTTGGCGTTTTTTCTCTTCCTCTTTCTTTTCTCTGCTCCTGAAGGATATGTCCTCTTATTGCGACATTGTTTTGTTCAGAAGACACATAACGGTAGAGGAGCTTTGACATATCGGCGGTAAGAATCATAGGCCTACATCAGCAGCAGCGCTTAAATGTTTTTATTTATTTTTACAGTAATATATATTTGATCATACAGAAAGCATCACTCATACATGCAAAAAATAAAAAATATTTAACTTTTTTTTTTTCGGATTGCTCCCGGGGCCCCCTATTGGCTGTGGGGCCCTAAGTAGGCGTTTAGTTCGCTTACGTCTTGGGTTTGTAAAGGTGCGACTTCAAGGCTAATAATAGTAGAGTGTCTACTGTTACTCATGCAAATATATACTGTATATCTAAAGTAACTACCATCCCATTTATACGTAACTGTAGGTACAACTGATTCTATCAACACAACTATTTTACATCAATAATTCTTTTTTTTTCTACTCTGTCAAGTTTTTGTACTTTGAGTTGACTTAATATGACAACAATGATTGTTAGTGAAGTACTGTTACTGCTGCTAACGCTGCTATACTCTCTGTTACTACCAAAGGTACTCATGTTGGGACCATAAACCCACTTTGCATCCTTTGCTAAGTGCTGTTATTTCTTCTCTATCTACCAACAGTGACACTGACTCCTGCTTAAACTACCACAGCCCCCCCCCCCACTGTCAGTCAAACTGGACCTGTCCCTGTCCTCAAATCTGCGTCCAATGATTCAGAGCGTTCCCGTTACCCTCTCCGGCTTTTGATGTCATCAATGCACGGACACACGTCACGTCACACGGGAGGCCCCCCCTCCCAAAGAAAAACAGTCCACTCCCCACTGACAGATGACATCCGCGTGTCCAACGAGCAGGAGAGGGAGGGAAGCGAAAAAAAAGGAGGAGGGAGAGGGAGAAGGAGAGGGGGAGGCCATATAAAGAAGCGACCGGTTGTCCCTCATGAGCCCCCCTCTTCGGATGAGGCCGAGCGCAGAGGAGCCCCGATCCAAACTCCTTCCAGACAAAAGCAATTATTTCTTGTAGAATATAGTGTGTTTTGTGCGTCCATCGCAGGAGGGGAGGGAGGTGTGCGTGGATTTTTTGAAGGAGAGGTGAAGAATATGGCGCACGGCGGGCCTCATCAATAGCAATATGTTCTTTTTCCCTCTCTGTAATATCTATCCTTTAAGAAGTAGTCTGCAACCTGCTGCGGCGGTTGCTTTGTCTCACATCATCGACTCATGGAGGCCATAGTGGACTTGTGACCACTTACACACAAAAACACGCACAAGGACGAACA